AACAAAAATTGTCATTGCCAGTTTTTATATATACACACAAGTATATTTGAATTAAAGAAATCCAGTAAACTTATATGAAAAATTTGTAAATAAAATAAAAATTTAAAAAAACAAAAGGTGTTAGTAATATAAAAATAAAATTTAATATCATGACATTTAGTATTATTTAACATAATATACATAACATAATATAATGGCTTTGAGGGCAATACATTTATTCTCTTTTAGTAAAATTATTATATTTCAATTTATATGTTTTTTTTATACATGATATATAATTTAAATATTATACCACTGAAATTGTTTTCAACATTTTTAATTTATTAAAAACAAATATTGTTTCTATTGAAAGAGTAAAATAAAAAAAATATAAAAGCTCTAATACTTACATGTGCCTTTCAATTTAAATTTTATAAGTTTATATAATATTACGTACACATAAACGTAATTGAACATTTATTTAATTTTAAAACAATATTTTATTTATTTATTAAATATGCCACGCATAGAAAGTGTTTTAATACTATAAAACTAACTAAAATTTTAATTATTTAGTTTTATAGTGTTAAAACACGCAAAATTACGATTTCCTTTTTAAGGTGTAGATGTCTTTTTAATATGTATGTTCATAAGTTTTCTCTTATTTTCCAATTTTTAAATCTGTATTATTTAAAAGCATTAAAAATTTTTTTAGTACATATTTATTCTCAAAAATATAATAACTTAGAGTAATAATTAATTTATGAAAAATATAATTATTTTTTATATTTTTGTCCATATTTTCACATAAATAAATACTTCAAAAATCTAATCGGCAAAATATTTTGAATTATAGAATAAAATTGTCAAAAAGTTTAAAAATATATTTTTATTTTACATCAATCACAATTTTTCTCGAAATTGTTATTAATTTTCAAATTTATGTGGCACTTTAATCCAGAAATGTATATATTTTAATAAAAAAATTAAAATTTAATTTACTTTAAAATTGTTAATCCTATGATAATTAAATTTTCTTCATACTTTGGTAGATGCGACGAGTAAAAATTTAATTTTCAAAAGTAAGAAAGTCATATTATTAAATAATTCTTTTAATATAAATTTTCAAAATTCAAATTTCGAGTATTTATAACCATGAGGAAAAAATTGAATATATATAAATGGTGTTATGTAAAGAAAAATTTATTGTACAATTATCATTAGCTAATTATTAAAAACAAAAAAAAATTAAAAAAAAAGTCAAAGGAAAAGTAAAAATAAGAATCGTTCATAATATTAATAATAATAATAAATAAAAGAAATAAATTAACAAATTATATACATATATTTATATATATGTATAGAATTCAATTGAAGGAGTGTGCATATTTAAATTAAATATTATTATATAAAAGTAAGAAAAAATTTGCTAATAAATATAATGCTTTCTCTACATAATAATAGATTGAATTTTGGGATTTAACATTAATTTTCAAGTTATATTCAATATATGATTATATAAAGTTATATGATCCCTGCTTTAAAATTTACATTTCTATTTAGATTATACAAAAATTTATATAGACGCATATTCATAGATGTTATTCGATATCATATTTATATTTCAACAGAAATACATAATTAAAGTTATTCATTGATAATCGATTTCGATTGATTGAAACCTTTAAATTAAATTGCAAAAAAAATAAATTATATTAAAAAACAGAAAATTCACGAATTAAATGTGCTTAAAGGTTTTACAAAAGATTTTGAAAAATATAAAAATTTATTGCAACAAAATTTAATATATAAATCCCCAATAAATAAGAATTTTTGTTATACACGCATATTTTTCTAGACGTATCATTTGAGGTGTTGTTGGAATATTCAAAATTTTTGAATAAATATTCATTTTGTAATTTTTTTAGTATAAACTGAATACTTCAATAATTTCGATTTATATTTGCTATCACACCAAGTGGTACATCTAATAGAATGTGTGTAATTGTTTAACATTTTGTACTTCCAAAGTAATCAAAACAAAATTTTCATATTCTCGTTATTTATTATTATTATTACCGATTGTATGTCCATTTACTCATACTGTGTATATAATGTAATATTGTAAAAATTAAATCCCAAGTTCGTCGATAATTACTTTTAAAAAAATTATTTAAATTTACAGTAAAAATATCCTATTTGATTGAAGATATTTTAATTTTGCTATTAACATTTGAATTTTTTAATCTATTGAATGAAATGGAAAATTTCAGCTTATCGAATTTCATTTAAATTTTTTTTTATTCTAGAAATTTCAATTGATAAAATTTCAATTTTATAAAATTTTTTATAACTAGTTCTGGTAAAGTAGTAGTTTTTTAATTTAGATATTGCTTACAATGTATATTTAAAACCGGGATTACTAAAGAGTTTAAACTTAAATTTCAAATTAACTTTTAAATTATTGAAAAATTAGAATTTATAAATCAAATTAATCTAAGAACATGTAACTTTCAAAATTCGTTTTCTAATTATAGTAACTTTTGAGTGATTTATCACTAGTACAATTAAGACTATTGTTATTTAATTGTAAGTTAATTTTTTATTATATCTAAATTCGTATTCAATCTAGCAAATACGAATAATATTCAAAAACATAGGAATTCTTGTATTTCAAAAATGTAAATTACTGCTGAATTTGAGAATAACCTGGAATTTTAAAATAAAACTAGAGCTTTTGTACGTGTACGAAAGGAAGTAAGGGAAACGAAAAAATGTCAAGTGAAATTAATTGGATACATTGTCAAATTAATTTTAAGTTGTTTATGTTTGTAGAAATTTTTTAAAAATATTTAAAACAATTTTTGAATAAATTGGTTAATTTCTTTTCACAATATACTTTGCTTTATATATTGTGAACTGTAATAAACATTAATTATTTAATCGCTTTTGTTAGATTTATCAATAATTTTCAAATTATTTTCATATTTAGCTTTTTTAGCTCTAAATAATTAGAGAAAAAAACTAAACGCAATTTACAAAGAGCACAGTCTGCTTAAATGGTCGCATTCATATTATTATGCAATAGAAGTATAAAATAAAAGGAAAACGTTAAAAAAATATAATTAAAAAAAAAGGGAAATACAAAGAAAATAAATACAATGCAAGTATAAATATTAATTATAAGTAAAAAAAACATATGCATAGTTATACTAACTACAAAAAAAAAATGAAAATAAGAAATCACCCATATACAACTTATATAATAAATTTATGTATTAATTTCTATATATATACACATTTAAATTTAAAAGATCAGTTTGAAAACGACAAAAAAAAGTAAATTAAATGAAATTAAATAAATAAATAAATGTTAATGCTATTGAAAAAAAGAAATTAAACATTTTATTTTTGAAAATGAAAAACTTCCAAAATAAATCCTAACTCACTACTAAGCTTTTGTTTTCAAAATTTTTATATTTTATATTTATTTTTTATTGAAATATTAAATTTTACTTTTAAATGATATTTATTTAAACTGCGCTAACTTATTTTGTACGAAATAAATTTATCATAAAGTCGATTTTATTCTCTGGAGACTGAAAGTTCATATAGAAATTCCAATAATTTGGTATTTTATATACTATAATCCCATATAAATATTTTAACTTTGTAACTCTTTTCCAGCACATATTTGTAATAAAAACATTTTTTTTTTAATTAAATAATTATAGAGTAGTTTATTTTTCATATTTTAAAATAATACAAATTTGGTTGTTACATTTTTAATAATACCAAAGCATAACTTAATTAAAAATTAATTTACATAAAAATTGCGATATTGATTTATTTCTGTTAGAGTTCTCATTAAAAATGCAAAATGAAAACAATGCTGTAAATATTAAAGATTCTCTTTTAAAATTATCAAAATGTTATGCTGTAAAGTTGACATTTTGAAAATTTCCACAAAAGTTTACTGGGGATTAAAATAATGTTGTACATTTATAAATTTTACTATGCGATGTTAATTCAAGAACAAAAAAATGATATTTTATTTCGTATGAAATAGAATTCATTGTTGCCCTTTTGATGACAAAAATAAATTCTTCAGTTTTTGCTTTTCTTTTTGATTTTCTTTTTTTTCGTTTGTGTATAAAAATATCGTTTTTATTTTATAATTTTAAACACAATTTGAATATTTATTTTGGTTTATAATTTGTTTTACTGTTATTTATTTATTTTGTCTAATTATTTTTGTCAACTGCAAAAATTTAATTTTATGATTCAAGCAATTCCAAAAATTAAAATTTAATTTTGTTGTATAATTCAAAATGTTTATTTATACATACATATTTTGTTAAAATTTAATTAGTAAAAAAAATAATATAGAAATTGCAAGAGTTCAATTAAATATTTTCAAACAATTTAAGTATGTTTTTTTTTTTTTGTAAAATTGTTTTGTTAAATAATCAAGTGTAAATGAAGTTTTCGTTTTTTAGCTTAAATTAAAAAATGAAAAAAGTAATAATTTGTTAGTATAAATGTATGTTAGTATATATATAATCATATGCATATCTACTATAGACATATGATATAAAATAATTTGGAAACAAGGCTAACAATTTAATTAAGATACCTTTATATAGAAGGAAAGGAAGTTATACAATATAATATAGTTAAGGTATAGAAAGTTTTTTTTATATATAATTGTATAAGAAAATTTAATAATCGTTTTTCATTAACTAAATCTAACAAAATTTATTGACAAAGTGTTATAAAAATATAAAATTATTTTATTTATTGCTTGAAAAATTAACAAATAATTTTTATTATATGAAATAGATTAAAATTGGACTAGGATAATTAAAATTAAATTTAAGTTGCTTAAATAATTTATTTTAAATTAAGTTATTACAATTATATTAATTTGTTTTATATTTAAGTTTTGTTTTTGATTTTATATTTAATTTTTTTTTTTAATTTATTTATTTATTTGTTCTTTTTTTTTAATCCGAATCTAGCAACCTTCCCTTCCACCACCACCACAATTATCATTTCTTAACAGCTACAACAAGAATAATACTCTCCCACCACCACAACCATTACCATTATTTAACAACAACAAGAACAATACTAAATCAAAATCAATTTTCACTTCCACTATTAACACCACAACAACAAATGCTTTAAATACCAAAAGTAAAGTGAATATTGATAATAATATAACTAGTACATTGAATACAAATAATACAGTCATTAGTTCATCTAGAACAAATACAAATACAAATCAAAATGATATAAAATCTACCAGTTTTAACGCAATTAGAAACATTCAGACTTCATCTTCTCCATTATTAGATACAATCTTTTCCACATCAAATAATACTCTAATAACAAACACAAGTACTTTCATTAACAATTCCAATACAACACTTGATACGTATTCTGATATTCATGATACAATTAATAATAATACTATGAAAAACAAAAACAACAATGCAGATTCAAATGTCTTAAAAAATTATCAGCGTACCCAAATATCACCCTTACCAAAATCAGCATCACCAAAAATGGAGGAAGATAATGATGATAAAGATGATAAAGATGATAAAATGAAATTTGATGAAAATAATTTTAATGCGAATTTTGTAGAGTTTTCATTGAGTCAAACACAAAATAAAGAAAATTTTCAAAATAATAACGATTTAATGAAAAATACCACAACTACCGTTTTTGATAATGAATTTAATAATGGCAAAATTAGTGAAATTGGTGCTAAAAATAAAGCATATATAAAAATAAACAAAAATAATATAAATATTAATAAAAATAGTAATAATAACAGTGCTATTGAGGTGATTTCAAAAGTGATTCCAGTTACATCCACTGTACCGGCACCTACAGAATTCGCTGATGATCCTTTTAAAGATTATCGATATGAAGATATCTTTAACATAGAAGATCCATTTGCTGATGATGATAACGACGACGATGCTGAGGACACTGATTGCTCAGAAGGTATGTTAAGAAAAAAGTATTAAATACATTTACATTTTTTTATTTAAACTTAGATAATTTAATTTAGTTATAATTAAACCTTAACATTTGATATATATTAAAAGTTGAATCTTAATTTCAATGTCACGCAGGATTTTAAAATAGCTTTTTGTTTCTGCCCTGTTTTATTAAATAACTTTGTTTTTAATTCTCATTTAGTGCTTAGAAGCATGTTTATGAGCTGAAAGAGTTTTCACGTTTGCGAAGTAGTCAGAAAGGAGTTAGAAAAAATTAGTGAACGCAGAATTTTTGTTAAATACTACTTAAGTATTATTATTTAAAATTAATTTTAAGGATGAATTTTTTATGTCCTCTCAGTATTTCGTAAAATTTATATTAAAAGTTCCTTCGAACTCCTGAATGATAACCGCATATTAATTTTTTATATTACATCAAACCTTTCTGGCCACTTAAAAAAGTTTCCTTAAAAATTTTTCGGAACCCGAAGTTTTTAATTAGTTTCAAAATTTTATGGTTATAACTGTTTTGTCATTACTATATAAAGCACCTTATTATAACAGATTTTAACCTTTGTGATATTAGAAATTAATATCACTTATAAAAAAATACTAATAAGAATATTATAAGATTTTTCTTAATTAAAGGTTTATTTCCTTCAGATTCATCTTATTCTCGACTTATTATTGATTTTATGTCAGGTAAACTAAGCTAGATTTTTTTTTGTTAAAACTTTAGCTTTTAATATAAATTGTATTTAATTTTATTGGAATGAAAATATATTAAAAATATTTAATAACTTATAGTTTAATTGAACAATTTAAAAAATTTTATGAAACTGATTTTGTTTAATATTTAAAAATTTTACTATTTGTGTGCCTGGAATTGTAAAATTAAAGAAATAATTTTTTTTTTAGTTTAATAATTTTTTTATTCTAATATAATTATTGCTCTAATTATTCCACATTAGCTAGAATAATTTTTTGTCATAAAATAAGAAAAAAAAATAATTTTTTATTATGAATCTAAACAACAGCATGAATTGTTAATAACCTCTAGACCTCTTCAACGGTATTCCATTTCACAAACACATACTAATATATTTTCCAACTAAAACCATTTTGAGTAGCATCAGACAATTATACTGTTATCAGAAAATAAAGTAAAATGTAGATTTTAAAGTATTAATAGAAGAAAATATAGTGTTTGTTTGTGTTATGATTTTAGTAATCCAATCACCAATTTTTGAAATAATGAATCAACTAATTTATTATTATGAAAAGTTGTGCCACTCAATATTATTTATTTAAAGCATTTAAAGCATAAACCTTCTTTAACAGCATTTTCAGTAATACGTAATATTATGAAATAAATATATGCCTACATACATACGTAACATTATGAAATGAATGTTTAAATTTAAAGAGAAAAAAGGGAAATGAAAAGATTAATTTTAAATGAATATAACCCATGGGGTTCCCCCGATTTATTTTCATTCAATTAAAAGTCAAACTCGCATACATTATGTATGTATATATGGATATGTACATACATACATATATGTATATGTAATGTAAATAACTGTGCTTTTTAAAGAAATATTACAAATTATTTGAAAATATTTAAGATGTCATGAAATTTCTTTTTTAGTTTACTTAAACAAATTTAATATTCTGAGTTATAAATATTAATAACTAATGATTTTCACTCTCAATTTAATAATTTTAAAATGAAATCGTGCTAAAAATTCATAAATAAAGTTTTTTTAAATTTTATTAACTTAACGCATATACATATGTATATATGTACATATATATATGTATGTATATTTAACGTATATTAACATATGTATATATATTTTTTAATACTTCCAAATAGATCCTTTCTCATCAGATGCAAAGAAGAATACTACAATTATTGATAGCTCATCCAATAATGTTTCAAAGGTTACCGATTTAATTGAAAATTTTAAATTAACACCAGTATCATCACCAACACCAAATCAAGATAATGTACAATTAACTGCAAACTCACCATCACCTCAATCAATTCCATTAAAAAAGACTAAAATATCTAGACCATTATCAAATTCAGAATTTGTAGCAGATTTTGCTAATTTTGATGCCTTTAATTTAAATGATGATTTTAATTTGAAAACTGAAACCACTATTAAGAATAATAAAAGTTTAAACAATAATAATAATAATAGTAAGAATAATAATAATAATTTATTTGATACTAATTCTAATGATGCTTTTAATGCTACCACAAATACTATGCAATATAATTTGACAACAAGCACTAAAGCCAATAGTGCTCTCGAAAACAAAAAAACCCAGAATAATCTAAATAATAACTTTATCGCTGACTTTTCCAAAGTTGATGTTGATAATTTTTTTGAAAGCTTCAATGATAATTTCATTACATCATCACCAGCAAATGTAACTGAAAAAATAACAGTTGCACAAGCAACAACTGACTTTAAATCTAATAAAGTACCAACAGCAGACCCTTTTGATGCATTTGGTGACGGAAAAACTACAAGATCATCAAAAGTTTTTAATGCGAACTTTGAAGATGACTTCTTTAAAACAGTATCATACCCAACAATTTCCGATGCATCACAAAAAACAGTAACATTAAATGCTCCAAAAGATTTTTCAACTGCGAATACTAATTTACTCAAGAATAATAATAGTAATAATAATAACAATGTGAACAGTAAAAAAAATGATATGAACAATTTATATTTATTTGGTGATTCCTCCTTTGATGATGATTTTGCGAATTTTGAAACCACTTCTAAAGATAACAAAAAATCAATTTTTGGCAAAAATGACTTAAAAGCCTGGTCATTTGGCAGCAATAAAAAAGATAAGAAGACGATGTTGAGTGAAAATAGCAAAAGTAATCATTATAAAGATACTTTTGATTATAAAAAAAAATCTTATAATCAACACCAACAGCAACAAAAAAACCAACAATCAACTACTACATCATCAGTTAACTCTGAAGTAATGGAAAAGTTTGCTGATGATTATTCGAAACCAGATACATTCGACGCAGACTTTGAGGAGGCGATTCGAAGAAGTATGCTTGATAAATAAATTTGTGTGAATGAAAAGTGAAATTAAAAATGCAAAAAACGCTGTATTTCAAATGAGCTATTTGTTTGGTTTTTTCTTTATTTTGAAGATATTTTTGATAATACGTTAAATGTTAAAATATAATAGCAGTATATACACACATATATTATTTAATACTTCATTTAGTTTAAAATTTTTTGAAAAAGTTCGTTGTGGATAATCTCCACATGCTTACATTGTGTAAGCCAGAAGAAAAAAGCGACTAAATAGCGTATAGGATAAAAAATGTAAAGAAGGAATATTTAATTTAATGAATCTCGTAAAATTTATGTAAGTTTTTTTTAAATTTTATTGATTTTTGGTTATGTACATACATATGTAGATTTATAGATATGAATTTTTTATCCAGGTTTATCCATTTTTAGCTGTGCACAAAGCAAGAATACATAGTTGGAAATGGATTTTAAAATTAATATAAAATATTAAGATCTTAAGAATTCATTAAGATTAATAAATTTCAATGCTGTTTAAATGCACGTTAGAGAATAGAGAATGTGTTGAAAAATAATTATATTATGTTAGTCTTACTGAAAATACTAGGTACAAAAATTTATCAATTATTTTTAAATAATATTAAAAATTAAAACTATTTTACGTGTATTAAAGATTTAGTTTTGAATTAAAATTTTTGTTAAACCGATTCTTGAATACTCAATAATTTTGGTTTATAAATTCAAATGCATTTTGTATGTATGTGTATGTTGATATGATAATGAAAATTAAAATTACACAGCTATTAATTTAAGTGATAACAAAAATTTGTTTTTCTCTGAATTTTATAAATTTTACAAATATTTTTTAAGAAAGTGAGTAATTAAAATAATCCAAAATACTTTTTGGGTACACAATTTTCTAACGTTATTTTAAACTATATTGGAAATATTTGTGTTTTAAATATTCAATAAACTAGATTTACCATATTGGGCACTATTCAAAGTTATTGAAGTCCCTGGTCTGAAAAATTCATAACTATTTTTTTTCTAGTAAGCTCTAATTTTGCTAGCTTTATTCCAATAGAATCTGATAAAATAGTACATTTAGGTTTAAACTATTTTTATGTTTTAATATACGACATCTAATTGTATTGTCGTATAAATATTGCATAAAAACAAACAAAATGAGTTATAGGTATATGAATATGTATACTTTTTAGTTGAAATAATGAGTATTATTTATTAAAAAAGAATTTCTACTTTAACTGTTATTTATAATGTGGAAATATTTAAATGTATAAAAAAAATCTTACTCCTTCTATTGTGTTTTAAGTATGCATTTTAAAATATTTGAATTTTTCTAATAAAAATAATATGATTTTTATGCGTACATACAAACATAAATCTGTAGATTTTAAATGTTGATGCAGGAATATCAACTATAATTGATAATTTAATTACATGAATTTATTGAATTTTAATGATGTCTCTACAAAATAGGTTGAAAGCAGCGACATATAAGGGAATAATGTAGAAAGAATGGAAATTATTAAAATTGTCCGAGTGTTTTAAATATTTTGCGTATTTCAAGTTTTTCGTTTTAAAAAAATCTACATAAATGTTTGTGTGTATGGGTGCTTTTATTAGAAATTTGTGGAAAATGAGAGAACAACGAATTTTACAAGATGTAAAAATTAAAAATATCAATATGAAGATCCTAATTAATAATATTTAATTATTTGGATTTGTAATTATTTACAAATATTTCCTTCACAACGTTATTAAAAACAAACTTCAATAATTATCCTACAATCTAACATTAAATATGTATATTAAATATATTAAAATAAACAGCAAATAATCAAAATTTAATCAAAAGTTTATTAGAAATATTTTATTAATAAGTATAAAATCAGAATAATAAATAATAATAATATTATTGATGTATTTTACTTTACTTTGTCTCGTCTAAAGATTTAAAAATATTAAGAATCATTTTGTCTGTATTACTAAATTTATGTTATTTTCATAAGTGAAAATATTTGTATGCCTTAATGAACTACATAATAAAAACATAAACAACATGAAACAAATGTATATAATATATATATATAAATATAAAGTTTAATCATATTGTATTTAAAATAATGCATTTTTAATTAACACACTTTGAATTATCCTTATTTTTAACACCTCTTTCGCTTTCGGTTTTAATTTTAAAATTCGTTTACAAATTTTAATGCTTAAGTTTTTCTAATAATGTAAATCTTCCCATAATTTTTTAGTATTAAAAAATTAAAAACATAAGTTTTTAAAAAGGTACCATGCTGTTTCTTTTCGCATTAAGGATATAACCCGCAGAAGTGGGCTGTATAATGTACATATTTATTTGTGTGACTTTAGTCTCGAAAAATAATCTGGCCAGTGGTATTCTAAAAAAAATTATTCCCACCATGTCTAAAATCAATCAAACTACATATTATGTTTATATTAAAATTTATAAAACATAGTCAACGTAGGTTTAGTCAATTATAATTTAAATACTTGATGGAAATTTAGGACGGATGATATTTATCAAGATTATTTATTATTACACATTTCCTTATTAAAATAAATTAAAACAATTTTTAGATATACATATGTAATTTTTAATATCATACTTTGATAGGTAAAACATACATCTATATAAAAACACAATCTACAAATTTTATACATTTTTAGTTATCGAAAACTTAAGACAAGAATTTTGTTAAATTTTTAAGTTCACAAAAAATACATACAAGTATAAAAAAATTCTAAAAATTTGGTATAATTGTGTAAATCAATTTTTGATGTCAACATCAAAAGGAATGTTAGACAATATCTTAAAAAACGAAAAGTAAGAAAGCTAAATAGAATATGGAATTAAAAACTAAAACCAAAAATTATGTTTTTACATAGGAACACATTTATATAGTAGAGTTTTGTTTTTATGCTGGAGAAAATTCATATTTTTTTAACAATGTAAAAATGTTGCCTTCGCCAGTTTCTTCAAGTTGTAAAATTTATGTAACTATTTACTAACTATCTTGAAAAAGTAAATAGTATTTATATAATAATTCAAAACAAAAAAATTGTTTAAATTCTTAAATATTTTTGTTTCAGTTGGCTATCGGCATTTATTTTCATCGTTTTCAAAACGATAACTTGAATTTCTTAAATTATTTCAAATTTTTAAAAAAAATTTATACATACTAAAGAGCGAGCATAATACAAAAGATAGATTTCTGTTTAGTTATATATATACATAAAATAAATGCAGTTTTAACTTTAAAATTTAATTATATTCCATATTCTTTTATATATCAGTTTATTAAATACCCCTTTTAACTTGTGTCGAAAAAAAAAGATTTAAATAAGAATTTTTCTAATAAAGATTCCAAATGGAAATCTTATTTTTTTCATTGAAATTTCTTTTTTAAACTTACGTATTTTACATTTTTACTCTTTATGATTCAGAATAAATATAGCTTAAAATTAAATTTTTTTATATTTTATTCTATTTTTAAATAGTTTTTAATTTGCTTAATTTTAAATTTTATATTAATTTAATTGTCATAATGCCGGGATAGATAGTCTTTTAGACGTTTTGGTAATGGCAGCCTTGATATGTCAGTTCTTTTAACTCGTGCAAGAATTGCATCACGACAAGCATTTTGCAATGATGCAACTTTAAAAATGAAAAGAAATATATAACATCATATACATATATATATACAGTATAAAAAACTACTTACTTCCATATATTTGAATAATTTTTACTTGTTTGGTTGTTCCATATACGTCTACAACAGCATGTAAGGCACCATTTTTGTATGGAATATCCATAGTGCATGGTCCTTGGTCTTCTCCATTTATGATAAAGTGCATTTCAGCTAAGTCATTTTGGTGAGGTGTAGGTACAAAAACTACACCAATTCGTGAGCCTTTGTCAGTTAATAATATGTCGGCTCCATTACCGTCTTGTGCGATTGGTCTAAGTACACTTCGAGGAACAGGTCCCCGAGCAGTTTTAATATTGATGCCATCACCTAAAATATCTACTACAAAACAAAATCAGTCTTATTTCAATGTCATACCGTTTTCAATATAATCTTTTTATTACCACTTTTATAAACTCCCGTTGTATTACCACCATTACAATTATTACTAGAATTATTTATATTACTGCCATGCAAGTTGTTTGTGTTAGGTCGACTTTCAGTAAATTTTGATATGGGATATACCCAGCTTGTACCCATGTTAGCCAAATCCGGTAAAGCAAATTGTGGTAAGCCCTCTTCAGAAGAAGCTACTGTTTGAGGATCTAATTGCGTTAACCCCAATCTCATATGACCAGACCAACCCCTTTCATTTTTTTCAATCTCAAGAAGAAAAATTTCTCCTGGCAGCAAGGGTTTTTCGCTGAATGTAAGAGCGTTAGCAAAACTTGCTTTTCGAAAAGCAACTAATTAAAACAATGTTTAAAATATATTACTTAAAGATCAAACTAAATTGAAGAATTGATTTTGTAGATTACCTGTATTTTCCTCAAACAAAATAATGTTTGCTCCATGGTATGGATGAAAACGAGATAACATTTTCTTTTCCATGTCGTTTTTTATATTGAGGCTTTATTTGCCTTATTGGTTTTTAATTTAAAAGTTTGATTTTGTTCTGTTTTAATTTCTAATAGAAATTTACAATAAACAACTACTATACGAATTTCCGAAAACGAAAATTTAAAAACTTTCCAAAATTAAATGTTTTTTCAACAATTCACCCATCAAACTAAAATTTGCGAGAATGACATCTTGTATTTATATGTACTGTGAATAAAGTTTTTGATACATACATTTAAACTCTTCTATATTTATACGTACATTCATTCACAACTTTCCTACGCTATAGGTCCATTCAAAACTGTTCTCGTTGAAGTGACATTTGTACATGAAGAGTCATTGTGAAAGATTTGATTAAAAAACACGTATAAATGGATAAATTTGAAAAAGAAAATAAAAAAAAAACAATTCCAAAACGAATGAACAAATGAAATTTTTGGATATATACATATGTTATTTGAAATAATATAATAATTTATATACATTAAATATTTTGGCAAAATGTAAAACTATGGCTGTGTAAATTGTGGGTGCCCACTGTTTAGGTTAAGTTTATGTATTGTTTTATCGGAGCTTAACTTTGCACTTCTACAACACAATGACAAAATATATGGGACAAAATCTAAGATTCAACGAAAATTAATTTGCTATGAAAATTATAGTAAAAATTAAAATCAGCTGTTCGGTTCTTTTAACTCAAAACTTTAACAAAAAGTTAATTGTCGCCATTTAACTTTTTGCAAATTGGTTTTTAGGGCACTAGCAGACAATTTATATTTTTGCGAATGTTTGTTTGCTTATTTGAATTCCATAGTTTTGTATTCAAATACGCGCACATCCAGTTAAGCAATCAAAATGTTTGTAATTTTTTATAAACTGATTGCAATTTTTAGTTAACGCAATCGATTTGAATTGACGTAATAGTTAAGTTGTTAGATGTGCGTCCAAAGATGTTACAATCAAGCAATAATTGCAAAACTGAAAGTCGCATTTCTTGCTGTGTTCTTATTACTTTTATATTTATAGATTGATGACAAAATGTTAAATCAAAGTGCTTTTACTCTTAAAAATATGAAGGAGAAATGGGTTTTTGAAAAAATTGTAATAATTATCATTTTGAGTTGAAAATTGTAATTGTATTATGATGTGCACCAGGTAGCCAAATCCTAAACCTTGCTGTAATAAGAAATCAGTTATGTATTTTGTTGCAAAAGTTATAACCTCAAAATTACTCATTTTTAATAATTTGCCTAATTTGTCGCACACAGTTTTTTTGCTGTAACTCATTCTTCTCAAATTTAGGCCAATCACCAATTTTGTATGTACCAAAAAATTATATTTGTCAAAAATGTCATTCACTTCACTGATTATGATCAATGCGATATTCCATTAGAATTTCAAAAAATTCTATGCCGTTATATTGGAAAAAATCTACGATATTTCAATATTACCGACTAGCATCTTAACCTGAACTAAATATTACATAGGTATATACACACGATGCATGGATGTACCAGCCATTAATCAACAATCAACATTAAAAACCATGACTAAAAACGTTAGTGAGTTATTACCAGTTTTTCTTTTCAAAATATAAGTTCCACTTTTATTTTTCATATAATAAAAATAATTCAAAATTTTAAAAATATTCTCCCTATTATCATTAAATAATTTTTTGAACCGCATTTTCTAAATTTCAAATCAACTACATCAATTCCATGTCATCGCAATGCATGTCTAGGAAATCATCATCATATGTTGTTAAATTATCTTCCAAATTTTCGCCTGCACTTTTAGCTAATAGAAGTTTTTCTATATGTGTATCTACTACATGATTTATTATTGTTGGAGGTTTATATTCTGGACTCAATTCCTGATATCCATTTGTTACAGGTGAAGGTGGTGGATTCGATACTACGATGATTGAATAAGTAAGAACTATGAATTCCAATAAATTTATTTTATTTATTAAACTTACACGAAATACTTTCTGGCTTCAAAAGGGATCGTGAAGGAGCTTCCTTATTTTTTGATGTAGAATTAAATTCCCTTTCCCTTTCACTTAAACGCTTTTTCAATTCTTCTACTTTTTTATCTCTTTTGATAGCTTGCATCGATTTGTGTTTACGGTTAGCCGTTTTACGTTCTTCTACAAATATTTCTCTTCTGTCGTCTGGAGAAATTAATCCATTATGCTTCAGTAAATACAAAAAAACTCCACCAGGCGTTCTTCGGCGTTTGCCGTTCTAAAATTTTAAATTATAATTTGTAGATTTTGAACTTATTTTAAAATACTTACAATAATCATTAGTCCACCTTCTTTTTCAATTTTTTGAGTTTCCTTGAATATTTGAATTGGTAAATCTTTACCTAATACTTGAACTACCCTTACTAAAATAAAGGAATTTAAATTTAAGAACTATATATTTAAATTTTGAAAATATACATAAAAGATCATCTTTTTCCTCATATAATTTATTTGCTATTTCTCTAGCAATTTCTTCATTTGAACTATCTGCTTGTATATTCAAGTCAAATATTGCTCGACCTGCATTTTGATTACTATCACAGCTACTTGTGCTTTTTTTGCGTTCTTGAGACGATTTTTTTTTCTGTCTTTTTTCTTGTCGTGATCTTCTTCCAGATGATTTAGTTCGTTTACTATTTTGATAGTATTGTCGGCTATTGCTTCCTTCTGACATATCATCTGAGGTTGATAAACGCCTTTTCAAAGTATTTTCTCCATTTAAACGATATTTTAATGCGAAGTCGTAATTTTCAACATTTCGATCACTTCTATTTTTTGCTACATCGATTCCTCTCATATTTTCCATAAGGGAATCCTCTTGTAAACTTTGTGCCCATATATCATATTTTTTAAATTTGGATTTTCTGTTTAAAAGTTCTTCAGTTGGTTTAACTCGTATAAGAACTGTGCGTTTTCTTTTCTCCTTTTTAACGTTTTTATTGATATCATTATCATCTTTTATTGTGGTTTTCATACAATCATCAGAATCAGATGATGAATCTGTGCTTTGATCAAACTCAGAGGCACTGTCATCTGGATCACGCATGTCTCTCTCTCTTTCGGTGTCCTCATTAATGGATGTCATTTCAGTGGCCATTGATTCAATTTTTATAGATGGCTTTTTTAATTGTGGTCTTTGCAAAGGAGTGTAATCATCGCTGCTATCTGATATCTATAAAAACTTGCACATTAGAAAATTTTTTAACTCGAATATAAATATATGAACCTCTCCATCTTCCACATCTTCGTATGTGTTGCAAGTGCCGACCTCCATATCTTCTATAAAGAAATTTAATTTTTTTATGAAAAATATAATAACCAAGTAAAACCAAGAATTCGTCCAAAAAGTTTTACTTATGAACGCTTGTGCCTAATAAAATAAAAGTTGGAGGATAGATTGGAATTTGACATTTGACAATAAATTATTATTTTGGTTGCATTGAAACCATAGACAAAACATTAACAGAATGACAACAGAAAGTACTTTTCCTTTTTTCTTCAATGATACTCTCAATGAATTCAGTAGAAAAATATTTATACTTGAAGAATTCATATAGTTTTGACAATCCATGCCATGACAACTTTTCTGCAAAAATTTTTTAAAAGAATAACACATTAGCAAAAAAATTAATAAAATTTTTCTATTTTTCCTCTACAAACGTATTAATTGTTTCATCGATTTAAAGCTGAGCCATTTCAAACCGAAATTTTCTCTTAATGATTTATTTTTTTTATTATATTTTAATTAAAATGTTATTGTAGTAGTGTATTATATAATAGTAATACTATATAACAGTAGCTTGAACCTTGAATTTGAATAAACTTTTTAGAGGAGAAAAAAAAATGCATTAAAATTAAAGAGAATGTAAAAGTTTTAAGTTCATGTAATTGTATTTTTTAAAGAAAAAATTTTTGGTAAACATCATTTTATTATAGAAAAAATATTTTGGAATTGATTTGAAATTCGATCTGTTATTTCATATTAGAATTTTTGGAAAAAGATCTATGAATTTATTTGTAGTTGACCAAAATTTATCAACAGAAAATATATTAAGGAAAATGTCAAGTTAACAAATGTTGGACCTTATGAAATATTTGTAATATTAAATGTCATCTGTTAGTAATTTGACATTTGCTATTATTTATTATTGTTGAGTATTTTTTTATAAAATATAGGTACATAATATCAAAATCTTTTGAAAAAGATAATTGAAATAAAGTAGAAATGAGAGTTCCAACTGAAATTTTAATGAGAAGCAACGGCAGGTGGCCCCAAGATGTAAAAAAAGTACCCTTCCAAGAAATTTTGCCTTTGAGGTACATATGTTTAAACTTTTATATAATTTAATAATGAACAATTTTAAATATATGTAAGTGAATATATAAATGAAAGTACATTTTACTTTTAAGGTTAAAGAACAGAGTTAGTGGAAAGGCTGATTCAATATCAGGTAAAAATATGAAACTTGAATTAAAACATTAACTTCTTTTACTAATTACATTTTTCAATATATGTAGTATTTGATTTCAAATTAAAAAAAAATTAGGTATTCAACTAAAGCAAATTGTACATTATCTTTTGAACATTATCATATTGAATCTCAATATTTATCTTAACAATCATCTGGATTCAATTTTAAATTCATGAAATTTTAAATTCATTCAAATTTTTAAAAAAATATAAATTAATCTGTTGATTTCCACTGTCCTATAATATCTATTCTTCAGATTCTAGTCAGGAACAGGGGATAAGACTGCATTATTAAGCAAATATCACAAAATTCTTTGATTTTTCTTTTATGACAATTTTTATTTTTTTATCGTTTAGGAAAATCTTTTATTTTTTGCACTACACATTTATAACTATTTTATACTTCTTATGTAGTTGCTGCTTTCGTAGTTGACACACAAATTTTAAAAATAAGAGTTAAATCTAAGATATTATTAATAAAAACTATTTTTAGAGGTTGAGTGTTTGCAAGAGATGGCTATTCTTTTCGCTTGTATGAAGGATAATGAATTTGCAGAAAAATATTGTCAAAAAGAAATCTCAAATTTCCAGAAATGCTTTAAATTTCATATGGACAAAAATTTCCAAGCTAAACAACAAGAAAATCTTGGGATTATTGTTCCTGGAAGAAATTTAAATTACAGACAACTTAATAAATATATGAGAGGATATCCGAATCCTTTATAGATAATTTGTTTGTTTTTTTTTTTTAGCTGCAATAAAGAAAAATTGGAAGATTTAAAATTTTTTGTTCATTTTTTTTATGTAAAATTAAATGTATGTATATAAATAACGATTGTGTATATTTATATAAGTTTTTGTGTAATACCTTTTAAATAAAACTTTACTTTCATTTGTCACGTTATCTATCGTAAATTTGGCTCTATGCACCTATCTCCATATGTTAAATGATATAGACATTTCGAATTATTTACTTCTACCTGGGAGAATTACTTAAGTTAGAAAAATGAGCATATGTATTACGTATTTAGATTAGACATAATGTATGTAACAGAAGCGTCTGATATTAAAATCATTACATCAAATAGATAATTATACGTTTAGTTTTTACAGATTTGTGGGTGTGAAGATTTTAGTTAAAACTTTAATTTCTGAACTGTCGATTATCTCTATTGCAATCAAATGTTATGAATTCTCCTTTAGAAAAAATTTTTAACTTTAAAAAGCTTAAACATTTTGATTATTTAAAAATAAAAATTTATTTCTAAAAATATACATATATGGCCAATAAAAGGTGATTAATTTTTGCTAGATCGCACCCGAAATATTCCATTAATATATTTCATAATGTATAACGCAGACGTATTATTTAGCACGGCGAAATGACATAAGTTCGGAATAGATACTTTGCGAAAAAACTAAAAAGAAATCCATGTTTTTGTATAACAAACTAAGATACATAATTGTTCCTGGTTCACAATCTTTGTTTCTAAATATTCTGAAATGAAGCTAGAGCAGCGTTAATCCTTCTCTATTGATCGAACTAATACACCTCTTGTCGCTCTTGTAGTGCTTCCATTAGAAACAGCCAAATTCATGTGCATTGGAAAACCTCCTCTTTCCCATGTATCTGCCAAAGTTGACAGATGCCGGTTAATTTCTTGTACTCTTGCTTTCTGAAAATCTAAGCGCTCTTGGTGGACTTCAGACCACTGTTCCTAAAATATTTTTTTAAGATTTGCGTTTTCGTTAGCAGTAAGTATTATGTATTGCTTTGCAATTTTACGTTACAATTCTTACCACATGTGAACCCATTCTTCCTAAATATCTTATTTTTTCTTGTACGTTTCCTATTTGTTGTAAATACCATTCTCGAGCTTTTTCTATGGCTGTAAAACCTTGGTAAAGCAGATCTCTTTCTTCTTCATACTGTTTAAGTCGTTTAAGTAAATTATAATCAATTCCGTTTTGCAAAGTATGACGTCTTGGTTCGCGTCTTTTCGAATTAGTTTTCTTTTGATATATTTGATTTGGTGATACTTCAACTGACGGCAATGACTGAGGACCTATCCTAATCAACCCTATGTTATTTGACATTTCTGTAGAGCCTCCATCGGCTGTTCCTCTTGGAAAGTGATTGTTTGTGTTAAGATCATGGCGCCATTTATCTTTCGATTCCATTTCACTCATTAAGATGCCCATTTGCCAATTTTGCAAAGCACTACGTATTTCAGCTTTATCAATTCCAATAGTTCCACATGCTTTCGTTGTGGTTGAAGCCAAATTTATAACATTGGATCCAGGATTTGCGATTCTATAGAGATATTAATCTAATAAGAATTTTATGTGAAAGATCTTTAATATATGCAATTTTTGTTTACAGTTTACCCAGTACTTAATCCGTTGGAATTATGTGTTGATAATAGACCAGTCCGCGGTGGTTTTGGTGGAGCCCCACCATATAAGTCTTGAATGATTGATTGTGGATGTATCGACATTAAAGGATCAACGGAATCTAGTGGTGGTAAAACTTCCAGATCATCACTATCTCCAGGACTTAATTGTGGTAAGCTTAAGGCTCTTTGACCAGGCATTGGTCTGACTGTAGCCGTGTTACTATTCCATTGATTATTAGGAACAGGATTTTCAATATCTAGAAGTGGAGCTGAAGGAGGCCTTATTGATGATACTTTTGGTGATGAGTTCGGGGAGTATTCTTTACTACTCTTTTTACTAATACTGTTATTAACCAAAATATTGTCACTTGACAGTCTTCGATTATTACTATGATCGCTAATATTATTTTTTGCTGAATGACTATTAATATTTGTTGTCGCTTGATTTCGAAGTAAACAAATTTTCAAACCAGCACAGAATCTTTCAAAGCTTAATAAACCATTTAAAGGTGTAACTTTTCTTAAAGAATCAATAACTCCGTGGGGTAAACCTTTTGAACCGTCATCTTGCCAACCTCTTTCTATGTCTTCAAGTTTAACATAACCAGTTTGATGATCGTCTAATATATCAAATAAAGTTTTCATTGAAGTCACAAACGCTTTAGGTAATGAATCCAATGCCCCGCCATTGTTATTTATGCTATAGGTGTTGTTATTAATGTTATTACCAGTATTAAAACCACTTCCGTTTATATTACCATTTTGATTATGTGGGTGATGAAGATAATTATTATTTGATGATCCTAATTTATGTTTACTATTTAAGCTGTTATTTACTGGTTTATTGCTCTTGCCTCCGACACAATTTTTAATTGGCTGGCTCGTACTGTTGGCACTTGATGTTGGTATTATAACATGTTTTTTCCCATTTGAAGAACGATTTTGTTGATGCATTACTGATGGGTTTTGTTTTGTGAAATCTAAAAATATAACAGGTTAAATTTTAATTTCTAATTTTTTTTTGCACTTTTCATTTTTTTTTCTGGCAAAATTTGCAACGTCAGTATTTTATCATTTTATCATTTGTATGAGTATGTATAAATATATGTATATGTATGTTAATATTTATGTAATATACAATATATATGCACATAATATTTTAATTCTGCATTGCTGTAATAAACAATTTAATTTTATAAACGTAAAATTTAAATAAATAATTAAGGTGCAAGACACTTAATCAAAGAAACAATTTGTTTTGCACATACAAACGTTATAACTGCGACATGATTGTTTTTCTTGTTATGCGAAGACTATCATTTTATGTATCGCTTGTTAAAATATTAAAAATAATCGACGTAGCTATTACTTAAACCACTCTACTAGAAAAACTTTTTTGCGAGAAACAATACGAAATACATCTCATCTGTTTGAATCTCGCAAGCAGAATAAGATCTAAGATCATTTGATTTTAATGCTGTTTGTCATCATGCTCAAATTTCAGAAGCATTACCAGTTATCCCGGTACTTCAGATTCCGCAATTTTTAAAGACAATTTATGCATTATTATAAATGTTACAATACTCATACATATTGATCTTTTTGTTCTCTTACTATTCAGCAATTGCGAAACACTTTTGCATCAACTTTTACGGCTTAATTTGTATAATATTATACCTGTTTTACAGGTATAATATACTTATATATGTAGATAGATACATATGTATATGTATTATATACCTATGGACTTGTGTATCTCTTAATAAAAATGAAGTATGTATGTATACAAATACATAATACTAGAATAAACAAAATAAATATAGTTGAGATTTCGATGACTAAATTTCGATGATAAAGAGCACAATATTTTAGCGAATCATAAATGGGATAATCTTTTACAGATCGTTAGTACAATTTGTGGAAACAAAGATTTTACGAAAACTTCGTAGTATTTCTACTTGCTCGAATTGTTTTCTGGTAATTTTCGTTTCAAAAGAACTTAGGATTTTTATAAGTTTTGCTGTAGTGTTGATTTTTTAGCCTGTGTAACCTGATAACCTATCTACTTCTGCATGTTCTTAACTTGACATAGCAAAAATAAAGGTCTGGACACTGGGAGAGAATTAAAGAATAAAATTCCATATCCCTTGAGATATGTAAGTTGTTTATTTTCTCGTAGTAGTACTTACAAACATATATCTACTGAGCCCACTACAATCAATGTTACTTAATAACTGGTCTTTGTTCCAATCAAAGTATATCTACTAACAAGTAGTTCGACTCTCCGTTGACATCACACTAATGCAATCACTCACCAATATTTGTATACAAAAAATTCCCTTAGTTAAAAGAGTAAAGCAGTATACTTTCTTATTTTCATTTTTATACACATAAGAATTTTTGGGAGAGGGAAAGAGTACGCAATAGATGTCAACCTGTTTTTTTATAATGTAATTTTGAAAGGCGACACTTTATTATTTGTTCCTATATAAAGTATAGGGAAAAATATTAAGAATTTTAAAAGCGACACAATAATTTCTGTAATTCATTCCAGTACAAGGTGGCAAAAAATGTGTATTATATTATAAAAGCAAAGAAGAAAAAAAGTGTTTAAAAAAATTATTATAATTTATATAATATAATTTTTACAAATAATAAAAATAAATTTTGAAAAGACGTACAATAGTAAAAAAAAAATTTAAATAGTTGTGAAAAAAATATTTTTTTTATAAAAATGGGTAAACATTATTTGAAGTGTTTGGGATGAAAAAAAGTCGACACGAAAATTTCATTTGTTGCTTTAAGATATGGAGAGGTAAATATGTACTTTTGAAAATATTTTAAATTTTTAGTGTTAAGCATTTGTAATTAATAATTATTATTAATAAATAAAATAAATAAATTATTTTTAAATTTTTTATTTTCATTTCAATCTTAATAAATTTAAAATATATTTCCTATGAATCGGCAATGATTATATTTCATAAAGTGATCAGTATGCATACACCTTTTTTTCTTTATAAATTACTTTACTTCTATGTCACTACCTGATACTGTGTATCTACTGTACCAGGTACATGCATGTGTACATTCATACATGAAATTTCAATTTCTTTTGCTTTCATACATTCGAATTTTTTACCTAAATTTTATAAAATGAAAAATAAATTTTGTTATTATCAAAATAAAAATAACAAAATTTTTACCTAACTTAATTTAATTTTATTTTATTTCAATGTTTTTGATGCACTCGTTTATTTACAATATTTTGTTTCTTTCTTGCCTACACAACTCTTATTACCATCTATTTCTAAAAAAAATGGAATATTTTAAGAATTTGGAAGCAAGATGCAAATGAAAACTAACGGAATGGAACGAGTCGAATTACTTATTAGTAGATATACTTTGGTGTATATAAAAACTTTTTTAGTGATCAATATAATTATAACAATATTAACGATAAACTATGTGGTATGCAGTAATCAAAATGATTATATAGCTGATGCGGCGTAGCGAAATATTACCGCACGGCATGATCATTTGTTATAAATTGATTGACCTTAGGATACAACATCAAAAATAATTTTTTAGATTAAACAACTTTGTAATTAAACTTTTTTGTAATACGTATTACTTTTTATTACATTACAACACACTTACATACAAATATTGAAAATGAAAAAAAAAATTAAATCGGGAAAATAACTTTTTATACATTTGCTGAATAAAACAACGTAATTTTTGAATTTTTACAACATTTTCTACTTTTTTCGTAATATTATAAATGTCAGCTGTTTAAAATAGTAAATACATACACCTAAAATTATTTTTTATGCACAATAATGAAAAGTTTTTGATGTGGCAACATAGATGCCGCTACACTAAACTGTTAAGCACCACATGACTCAAATTGGAAAGGGGAATCCGGAAAGAACACCGCGCGCTGTTTTTTTTAATTTCGTGTTGTTTTCGTGTAGTTTCTTGTTTTTTACCTTAAGACTTGTATTATACTTTTTTTGCTTTTTATAGAGGTTGTTCTTATGATTTATATTTTGCAAAGTTATGCGTATTGTGAATCCTTTTAATTCCTATATTTGAGGTTGCTACTTATTAATAGTGCATACTTAGTATGTATATTAGCTCGCAAATTCTTTGTTTATACATAAATATACAATATGTTGTTAAAATTTTCAATTATATGTTCATGAAATATACATATGTATATTTTATTCATTTGTATACTCGTTATAATATTTATTTATGTATTTAATAATAATATTTGCTTACATATAAAATGACTAATATTAGATTATTTTACTGTCTCTTTAGTAAAACCCCCTAAAATCCTTATACATATGTATGTATTAATTGAATTTACTACGAATTTAAAACCTTATCAGTTTTGTTTATTTAAGAAAAATTACTTATAAAAATTTGATTTACTCTAAATTAATGGTTAATATACTATAAATTACGTGTATAATGTACATATGCATGTACATACAATTGTACCGATAGGTATTAAACAATATAATTTCAATAATTTAAGATTACTGTACGTATGTAGTTATATATTTTAATATGCAAGTATAAAGATTAAAATTGTTCAAAATATCTATTCAGACGTGATTTTGGTTTTAATAGGAGAAGTTTTATATTAGCTTATTTTTTTAAAAAAAAATTCATTTCTTTCTTCATACTTCAATTTCCAATACTGCGGCAGTATGAAATTCTTCAACACTATAATACTTATTTGCTGTGTTTTAATATCTCTAACATCGGCAAGACCACAAATGGATAAATTAAGAGAATCTGTGCGAGTAAAACTAAAACAGCCACCAAAACAATTTTTAGTTGATGATACATTAGATGTTGGACCCGATGAGGATGAATTTAGTGTGAAATTAATACCAAGATGAATTAATTAAAAAGAGTAGAGGACAATTTTTTTGAAACATATGTATGTATGTATGTACATACTCAAATAGCAATTAAGTATTTTTAATCGTAAACCTTATCTCAATTAAAGTATTGTGTGAATTGATGAAATAATTTGTGTTTTGTAAACCGAAATCATACAATTTATTTAAGTATTTATTAAATAACTTATCTTTTAAAAAAAGTTCCATAAATTTGTATAATATAATAAAAACAATTATTTAAATTTAATATATATGTAAGTATAGCTAAAATTTGAGTGGTTAAGATGAAGGTTTTATATTAGACTAGATAATCTGTCTGAATAAACCTTAATTTTTTTGATTGGGGTTAATAAAATATTAACTAATTTGATTTTGTTATATTAGGTAGGGAATCGATGGAGTTCGTTTAAATGAAAGTCTTAATTTTTATTTCTTGAAAAACATGAAAGATTACGCATTGAAAAATTTGAGTATTTATCTTCATAATATGTAAATTGAAAATTAAAAAATGCAGTAATCCGACAAAATATTACAAATTTAATATGATTTCCCATTCAACGGTATAATTTTAACAGTAACTTTTGACAAAAAGAAATTTAAACTGCAATACATAAAATTTTGATATTGCGCTTTGACAAATACTGCGTTAAAATTTAATAACAGTGCTTTTAAATTTAATAATAATGATAATTTAAAAAAAATTAATTTTCTTCCATCAAATTCTTTTTCCTACTGGCAATACGGTAAGTTCAAATATTTGTACATGTGATGGGGTACTTAAGGCAAACATAACACAATTTGATATATCTTCAGGATTTAAATACCCAACATCTTCAAATTTTTTCCATTCCTCTGGTAACATAGCCGTATTAGTTAATCCTGGGCTTATACTCTGTTTAAATAAAATTTAAAAAGAAACTGTATTATATTTCAATAAGTCAAAAGAATTTTTTTTAAAACTTGTTATAAAGGCGGATAAGCTTAGGGAAATTTAGAAAAAAAATATTCATGCTTAACTTATTTGCATTCTATACTTGATCTAGTTTTTTGGAAGGATTTTCATAAGAAAGAAAATTAAAATTGCTTCAAATTTAAAAATTAACTACGTTGTCCATTAAATTTGCTTACGCATCTAAACAACACATAAAGTTAAACTGGATTTACAGGTTTCGTGCCATTGGCATCGCTTACTGCATGCATACGAGCATGAATATGAACTTCCATTTAATCAAAAGCATATAGATAAGTTTGTAAAAATATTAGGAAAATTATTTTAATTATTAAAAAAACTGTGAATAAATAATTTAAATAAATTTTAGAAATTTACATATTTTTTATGAAAAAAATTAAAAGAAAAGTTAATTAAAATTTTCTTACAGTTATTTTACATTTTGTTCCAAGATCCGAAAATTCTTGTCTATAGACTTCTGTCATTGCAGTTACAGCGTACTTTGATGGCGAATATATGTTAATTGATGGTGAATTATCGACAGGTGCAGTTATTCTGTGACCAGCAATACTATTTATTAAAATAACATGGCCGTTGAAATTTCTTGTTTTCATATTTTTAAATGCTTGTTGTGTACAATAAACTATTCCCATTACATTTGTATTTAATACATCACGTATAGATTGTGTGTTCATCATAGATAGATCACCAGATTCCATGTAACCAGCATTATTAATTAATATATCAATGCTACCATGTTCATTGATAATTTCATTGAACACTTGAATTACTTCAGATTCTTTTGAAACATCACATTTTTTTGCAAATAAATTATTTTTATGTAAATTTTCTGGGATTTCATTACGAATTTCCTCAATTTTATGAACTCTTCTTGCTAATCCAATAACTTTTATGTTAAATTTAATAAGATCTTTAACAATAGCAACACCGATACCAGCGCTTGCACCTGTTACAATAGCTACTTTATTATGCCAACGTTCCATTGTGAAAATATTTGTTGCACTTTTACTTTTTTATTTAAACAATTTATGGAGTATGACTGACTTTTTTGTTACGACGCTGCATAAGAACTAAATTGTTTTTTTTACAAATAACTTTTTTAGTGTAACCGTATAACTAAATTTTTAAAGTATGTACATATGTATATGAATAACAATTAAAAGAGTGAGAACGAGGAAATGTCTGAAACTGGTTTTCGTAAGCTTTTAAAATTATTTTTTATTATTATTAATAATTAATTACATGAACTTCATAAAAGATAATATTATTGTTTATTACAATTTAACATCTACATATGTAAATTTAATTTTAGATTATTGAAATCCAAATTTTAATTTGAAATTTTCTACTGAATTCAGTTAACCAATCTGCTGTATGTATTTATACATACATATTATGCACGTAGTTGCCAATCAATTATTTTTCATAGTTGTCATCCCTTTGTCATCCGTTTTATTATCTTCAATCAAGACCTGATCTGCTAATTCTAATTTGTTTGTTAAAAATTTAATCTTTTTGGTCTGTAAAATGCAATATAAAAGACAATTTTAAAATACAGTAAAAATCAATTATAACGAACGGTTATAGTACGCAAAAACTGTAACAAAGTTTGGTTGATATGTATATAAAGCATATGGAACGACAAATGCTTATAACGAAATCGGTTTTAACTTGCTTTAACTTGCTTGAATGTCTTTGCTTTAGCGATACTCGTCTCTTTCTCTTATCACATGGAAATAAAATTGGTTTTACTTATAACACAACGAATACTTCAGCTTGAACAACATCTAGTTTTTTATGTGCGTAGGTGAAATAGTTGTTGACCTAAAATTTTTGTTTGAAAAAATGATTTACGGTCACTTCTTACAAAAATGTCATTCAGCCCATTAAATTTAACCGGCTGAGTCATAATTTTGCGGGAACTGACTGTCGACCGAAAAAAATTGTCTTTTTAGTCAAACCATTAAATGTCATTTTAATTTTCATTTTGAATTGAAAAGTAAATAAACAGTAATAAAACTTTCATAATAAATAATTCATCTGTATATTTTATACAGATGTATTATTTATTATATACAGATAATTATTAATGCCTATTATAATGAAAATCGATTATGTAGTTCATTTTTTCTCATCTCCTAAGTTTACGCTATAACCAAGATGTACTGTAGATATTTGAAGGAAATAAAAAATTAGTGGAATCATAAAAATTGATTGTAACTTTTGTTTTTAAAAACTTAATATTTTCTTCTTCACCTTTTTTGGATTGAAAAAAAAAATTGCATAAGTTCGGGATGAAGTTTTATATTTGCTGATTATATTAATGATTATTGATTACGTATGACAATTAGTTTTTGGAAACGAATTTATAATCAAATTATTTGAATATATTTTAAAAGTGTATATATCGAGTACTCTATACATTCGAGTTGCGTTCACATACCTACAAAAATAAAACAACAAAAATAAAACAATAAAAATTTGGAGTAGTTTAAAAAAAGTTTAGTATTATTGCTACATTAAGTAAGAAATTACCTAATTTTAAATTTGTTGATTTTTCAATTATTACTATATAAATATAGTAATTATGAGTAAACCAGTTTTGTACGGTACAAATTTTAGTCCACCGGTTCGCGCATGTCTTTTAACAGCGGCTACTCTTAACTTGGATATTGAGTTTCGTCAAGTGAATGTTATGGCTAAAGAGAATCTTAGTCCTGAATACTTGAAAAAAAATCCTCAACATACAATACCAACTTTAGAAGACCATGGAAATTTTATTTGGGATAGTCATGCTATTATTGCTTACCTAGTTGGAAAGTATGGTAATGATGATGCTCTTTATCCAAAAGACTTGTATAAAAGAGCTATAGTTGATCAGAGACTTCATTTTGATTCTGGAGTGGTTTTTCCAAAATTAAGAGAATGTATTGTAAGTATGTGATATAAAAGCCTTTTGTAAGGATCAAAAATCTATTAATATGAAAATCTTTTTTTTAAATAAAAAACAGTTCCGGATATGCTTGAAAAAAGAAGTATCAGACATTCCTTTGTTAATAATTGAGGATATAAAATTAGCGTATGAATTTCTTGAAAAATTTTTGGATGACAATGATTTTATGACCGGCGATTCGTTGACTATTGCTGATTTATCTTTGATTTCTACAATATCCACAATAAAAGGTTTAATACCATTATCAGAGGAAAGTAATCCAAAGCTAATAGCTTGGATTAAACGTATGGAATCTTTGCCATATTATAATGAAACAAATGGAATCGGCGCTCAAGGCTTAATAAACTTTGTCAAAGGTGTTATGGAAAAGTCCAAGATTTAAATTTATAAAATTTAAATTACCAAAAATAAGGAGCATAATATAAAAGCATATATATAAAATTTCAATTCACTTTTTTTTTATTAAAGGCGGAATTGTTTATATTTTATCGAAATGGTAAATATACTTTGTTCACAAAACTCATTGCTCAATTCCGTAATATAGAAACGTACAATATGTAAAAAGTGTAAATAATGCCAAACTCTTTAATACAAATTTTGTTTACTTTTTCAAACTATTTGAATGTTCGAATATTATTTTTAATACACAAATTATAAATTCATTTTTGTTAAATATTATGAAAAATTTGTAATCTCTGTTCATTGAACAATTCGAGAATAACAGCAACTCTCTGGGTTCACTCATATATGATTTTTAACATTTTTGAACATTATATTTTAGGCATATTTCAACTCTAGTTTTAACAACTCTTTTAGTAGATACCTATAGTTCTTGGTTGTTTGCCAAAAGGCAGATCTAACGTCAAATTGACTTATTAAATAAATAGAACAATTTTGCTGATTAAAAATTTTATGAATCTAAGATTCCTTCGTTTTAAACAAATACATACTTATGTATATGTATATTTATAACTTTATTTGCAACAAAAATATTCGAATTTTAGAATTAGATTGCTATATAAAATATTTGAAATATGTATTGCAATAATTGGCGAAGTAAATCTTAACGTTATAATTAAATCCTAACTCTAATGGTTTTATTGATTTTTTTTCCGACAATAATTATAAATTTAATTTTCCTTCAATATTCATTCTGGCAAATTTATATTTCAATTACAAATTATATTTACCAAACAATTACTATTATTATTTTGTTGATAACGAAATATCAATTAAGGTGTACTTAATTTATCATCAGTAATGGATTGTTTTAAACGATAAGATTAGGTGAGTTTAGTGTGGTTATATAAATATTGTAAATATCCTAATTGAAGTATTTTGTTAATGTATATGTACATATATATGATCTTGATAATAGTTCCGAATATTGTAAATTGGGCTTATAAAACTTTTCTGTGTTGATAGCCCTGTAATTGAAGATTTTTATAAATATAAATAAAGTTTATTTTCATTCTCAAATTGATGCCTAAGTTTTTAAAAACATTAATATAAAACTTTGTTTATTATAAATTACTTATGTATGTAATTTTATTTTATTTTTGCTTATAACGACGAGAAATAAAGTTACTATAAAATTTTTATAGTAAATTAATAAAAAAACTAAACTTTCAAGCTTTCCACGAAATTTTTATAAAATGGTCAGCTCTACCATCTCCTACAAATTATTATTATTTTGAAATTTAAATTACTCAGATATGTTATCAGACTTAATAATTTTATTATGTTTAAATTTTTTAATAAGTCATTGTTGGTTAGACTTATTAAAAAATTTAATACGTCTAACCAACAATGTTCAGATATATATAAGACCATTAAATTTTTATGATAAGTGATAACTCATAGTGATAAATATTTTGTTTGCTTATTGATCATCAATACTCAAATATTAAAAAATTAATTAACTTCTGATAAATAAATAAACTTTGCATACTCTTTATGCATATTTAATTAAATTAAGTGCATATTTATTTACATTTGAAATAATAAAAAAAATTATAGTTTATTAGTGAAACGTCTACCAAAAATTTTTAAAAAAGATAAAGATTTTTTAAAAAAGACTTATTCATCAGTAAAATTCCAATTGTAGAGAATTGGGAACATGGAAGGCTAATGTGCAGTTAGATAAAATCCATTTATTTTAAATTGTTTTCTACTTTTTCTTCAATTTCCTTTTATATTGTGTTCCTTATTTTGAAATTCTGTGACAGCAGATTAAAAAAAGTCAAACTCAATGTTAAAAATTTTTACGCAATAATAAAACCCGCGCTGCTTCCATAGCTTTGATATTTTTTGTTTTTTGTTCTGAAAATATTTTTGATATATAAAAGTATCAGTTTGTTATGTAACAAAATTCTGCACAATCACCCTAACAAAGCGAGTTTTGAAAAAAGCTTTAAATATAATAGTATCTTATACATATTTATACACTAATTGTAATTCAAAATTTGTTATTCAATTTAGTTGAATTAAAACCGCTTTATAGAAAATATTCTCATTATAATAGCATCATTTTTACAGTAATAATATTATTAATTCATATTTAATATAAAAAAATGGGTAAACTAATTATTTATGGAAATAAAATGAGCCCACCAGTACGAGCATGTTTTCTCACAGCTGCGGCAATCCAATTGGATTACGAGTTCCGTGAATTAAATGTTATAAATGGAGACCACTTAAGTCCCGAATATGTGAAGAAAAATCCTCAACATACATTCCCAATGCTAGAAGATGATGGAAAATATATCTGGGACAGTCATGCAATCATTGCATATTTAGTTGGAAAATATGCCAAAGACGATTCACTATATCCAAAAGATTTATATCAGCGCGCTATTGTCGATCAAAGATTACATTTTGAATGTGGTGTTCTATTTCCAAAATTAAGAGAAAGTCTTGTAAGTATAAAGAATATTTAAATTTTTTTTGTATTAAAATGTGCGAAATTTTTTCAATGATTTAAAGTTAATTGTTGTCCTGAGAAAGGAAAGATCAGATATTCCACCGCAATTGGTTAACGATATAATTGAGGCATATGATTTTTTGGAGAAATTTTTAGGTGATAACGAATATATGGTTGGGAATTCTATGACAATTGCTGATTTTTCATTGATTTCAACGGTTTCATCGGTAAAAGGTTTGATTCCTTTATCAGAAGAAAATCATCCTCAATTAATAAAATGGGTCAAACGTATGGAAACTTTACCGAATTATTGTGAAAACAACGGTGAAGGCGCGCAGGCTTTGATTATTTTTGCGAAACAAGTAATGGCTGAATTGAAAGCACAAAATAAATAATTTTCTTTATTTTGAAAAAAGTACTAAATGAATAATTAAATTTAACTATTATATTATTATATTATGGAATCAGTGCTAATCTGTTAACAAAAAATTGAAACAAGTATATTTATTATTTTATTAGAAGAGCAAAAAATCTGATTTAATTTAGAGAAAGTGTTTCACAAGAAATGTCCTTTAAATACTTTTTTCAAATTTTAAGGACTCTAGTAAGCATCCAGTTAACATACTACAAGAAATGTTAATTTGGCTCTTAGAAGAGGTTCACTATATATGACATCTCAATTCGCTGAAAAATTGGCAGTTAGTTTTGGTAGCAAACAGAACTCAAATACTAAATTTCAAGAAACTCTGTCACTTAGTCAATCCGTCAGTTAATCAAATTTTTATCAAAATCGACTTAGCTGTACTTCAAATACTCGCGTCCACCAACAGACCGACACCCGGCAGATCGACGACTTTCTAAAAAAAATTCATTTATGCTACCCTTTCTTGGAAAAGTGCGTATCCACTGATAATTCAATTTACGAAATTTAGTTTCATAACATGTATGTACCCCTTTTACTGTTTGCAATGCGTTCGGTTAACTTTTTTGGAGCGGTAATTCTTTAATTTAAATCTTTTATTTTTAAAAAGAACGAGTTCCTGTTTATTTATACTATTGTTTATGAAGAAAAGTAACCCTAAACAGCTATTGATTTGTATGTAAAGTTTTTAATTCATAAGTTTAAGTTGCCAATAGCTAAATAATACGGTAACGCAATTTGTAGGTCGGACAAAAAAATGTATAACAAAATATTATTCTTTTTCTAGGGATATCACAAATATTGAAGTTGAAAAAAGCTTTTTGCAGATAAAAAGTTTTTTTTGCTTAGATTCTCTTTTGACTGAAATTTATAAATTTTATTTCAGTTTTTTTCCATTCGTTGCAGAGTTAAGATAATAAAAATAACATTCTAATAAAATGCAAAAACCGATTTTATATGGTATTCTTGCAAGTCCACCTGTGCGTACTACACTCTTAACCGCTCACGCTATCGGTTTGGATTTTCAATATCTTGAAGTTGATCTATTAAAAAAAGAACATTTAAGTGAGGAATTTCTCAAGAAAAATCCTCAACATTCAGTTCCACTGTTGGAAGACGAAAATGAAAAGTATATTTGGGATAGTCATGCAATTAGCACATATTTAATAACCAAATATGCTAAAGATGATAGTTTGTATCCGAAAGATCCATATAAGAGAGCATTAATTGATCAAAGATTGCATTTTGATTCTGGCGTATTATTTCCAAGATTGTTGCAAGTAGCTGTAAGTATGATTTTTGTTTTGTAGTTGATACACATTGTAGCTAATTAATTTTACTTTTTATTCTTTTACAGAGAAAAATTTATGTGGAACATACTGATATTATTCCACAAGTTTACATTGATCAAGTTTATGAGGCGTATGACTTTGTTGAAAAATTTTTGGAAACAAACACATATATCGTTGGCGAAACTTTAACTGTAGCAGATTTTTGTTTTATTTCCAGTATAACATCAATGGAATTTAATTGTCCTGCGTCACCTGAAAAATACCCAAAAATAAATACTTGGAAAAAGAATTTGGAAAAATTACCATATTATTATGAAGCTAATGGAAAAGGTAACGAAATGAGAAACATGTGGTTTAAAAAAATTTTACAAGATATCAAAAGCAAAGCTTAGTATAAAAGTAATATAATATATATTATATTGTAGCTAATATTATAATATGTATATATATTTATATAAATATTATGTAGTAATTTTGTTTTCACACATTAAAATAAATGTAATTGTGTATTGGACAATTTCAATAATTTGATAATGGTATTTATACCATGGATGGCAATTAAAGGGCACGCGTGCCAAACTTGGCACGGAAAAAAAATTTGATGGCACGTTATAGTTGTGCCTCGACAAATTTTTATATAGATTTTTTTTCTAATAAAAAATCTAAAAACTCGTTGAAAAATTGATTGAATGAAAAATTTCCTAAAAATGATAATTTCCTAATAGCGAAATGACAAATATTCAAAACCAAACATAAATAAATTTGTGAATATGCGGAAGCTTGTTGAAGATTTAGAAAGCCATCGATCCCAAAATGTGGAATCAGAATGTTTCATGGAAAGTAAAATTTTAGAAGCTTGGAATAGTATGCCAGATACCTTTTATTCTGTCAAAAAATTAGCAATCTCGTTGTTAACGATTTTCTCTTCCACTTACTCTTGCGAAAGTCTTTTTTCCGTTTTGAATCATGTACATTCAAAGACTAGAAACAGATTAACAGAGGAAGATTCGGCAGCATGTATTACTCTGCAGTCAACAATGTACCAGCCCGACATAAAAACTCTTGCAAGTAATATGAAACAAAAAGTTTCTGATAAAAAATTAAATTAATATTTTTTCTATCTGTATTTATTAATTTTTATACCTTGAACTATAATATGTATAAATAAATATTATTACAACTTGTCATAATATTGTATTTACCTAACCATACCTGTACTTGGTACTGTGCTGGCACGGGAAAAAGTGTGACAATAAATTTCCCCAAATTTTGGCACTTTGATCAAACCCTATTTGCCATCCCTGATTTATACTGTTCACTGAGGAACTAAGCAAAATATTATAAGGGTAAGTTTTATCTTAAAATTCAAAAAAAAATTTTACTTTGAAGAGCTTTTTAAATTTCAAATTGATGACAATATTCTTTAAAGCAATATTGCGTATGAACTTTTATTGGAATTTAATAAAATGTTACGCGATTAATCAACATTAACCTCCTGAAAGTATGCAAAAATTTCTTTTACTGTGTTGAGAAATACTTTTTTTATTTATTCCTTTTTTGATTTAAAAAAAAAGTTTTACATACATCTATACATACATAAATCTTTTAATATAACAGTGATGATTATAAATAATTATATGATCCTTTTTTATTATGAAAAAAAGTTTAACTAATATAACCATGTAAAACACAAATTGAGTGGAAGGTACAGCGCTTTGGAGATCGCTCAGTGTATTGAACAGGGCTCACTACTATTGTATTTTAAAATTCTTCAGCTAATGCTTTCCAAGCAAATAAAAAATCTCGTGCATGTTTACAACAGTTGAAATAATTATTTTAACCATTATTTTTATTTTAAGAGGAAAGTTAAAACAAACTGAAAATTCAAAAATTTAATATATTATTAATTTGAAACAAAAAGTATATAATCAAATTACTAATTGCTATACAAAAAATAATAAAGGAATAAAAGAAAATTAGCTTTGATAACGTGTGTATGTGGCACACGAATTATATTAAAGCAATAAAAGAGTATTTTTTACAAATAAAATTTTTCCTTATTTTGAAGAATTTAAAATTTAATTATACTGCAATTAAAGTATTTTTTCAAACTACAAAGTAAGTTTTTTTTATTTTGAAATATTTAAAAATTCATGATACTTCTATACAATTAAAGTTTTTTTTTGATATTTTTTAGAACACTTGTTTGACTTCTCACAATTGCAACATAAGCGTTCAAATACTTAGGGTTACACTTTGCTGATGAAAATGTGTTGTTAGTTTAATATTTTTTGAGAATTCCAAGTTTTAAACGTCAACTATTTTGTTATTGTCAAGTTTTAGAACCGCTAAAAAAATGTTTCGTTCATTCTGTGATGTCGAAAACTGATGAAATAATATAAAAAATATGTATCGTTCAGCCGTGCTCCTACTTTCTTATGAAACGTAACAAACATGAATAAAACTTTTCCCATGCTTCCGCCCACGTCTATATGTGAAACGGCAAGAAAAATGTAGCCAAAGTACGGGCTTAGAAAATCGGGTGGCCTTCTGGCAGAGGGCATTGATGGCCTGACGGAAATTTACACGGGATATTGTCCTTAGTATTGCGCTTCAATGCGACGTATCCGAGCTGCTGGACTGTGGAGAGTCCAGCACGAGATTTTTTTTCATTATTCCTGCAAGTGTTTAGTTTTCGGCTGAGCCGGATTGGTCACTGTGGGAGAGTGTGATTAGGCTGAACGAGATATCGAAGATTGGCATCGCGGGCTTAGATAGATTCCGCAAAAGAACCGGGTTACTTAGACAGGCAATCTGTAATCAATTACGGGGTGGTGGTGATAAAACGGCATACAATTGTGTAACCAAATAAGAATTAAACGTATGTATTGTGCAATAATTGTGTTACTCACCGCAAATATTTATAATTTTTTTTTCAAATTCTATACATGTTTGTTTACTTATTGAATTAACGTGCATAAGTTACAATAGTATCAAATATTTGCAAACGTCTGAAAAATATTTTATTTCTATTAAAATCGTAATTTTTTGTGAACTCAATATCAAAATACAAATAAAATAAAAAAAATCAACTAAAAATAGTAATAATAGTAAATTAAAAGAACCGTTTCTATTGATATATTTTTTCAAGAAAAAATTTAATATACGTGTAATATCAATATTATTCTTCCAACCATGTTTTTTTGATAGAAACTTTATTTCCAACATCACTTTGTTAGGATATTATGTAAGCTCTTATCATATAATTTTAGAATAATGCACCTAAGTTTCATATGAAAACTCTTGAAATGAAAGTAGTTCCTGTTACAAAAAAAAAAACAGAAGCGGTACAATAATTATCAAAATAATTTCACTTTTAATTTTAAAATCGAAATTCACTTTCCTTAATTGAGGACGTTATGTTTTATTGACATATTATGTATGCATGCAAAATTTAAAATCGCCAGCACTTATTTAAAAAACTCTTTAAAACAAGTAGCATACATACTCGTATAAATATAAACATAAATTCCAATTTAGTCTCGTATGCATTTTTTGTTATTGTGACATCATGATGCATCGCATTGTATTCTATATTATCTTTTATTATTATATGAATCCGTTCATTATTTCACTATCCCCCATATACTTCATTTATGCAAGTATTATTATTTCATTAATTCCATGTAATTGTTCCATTATTATAACATTTACTGAATCTTTATCACTTCGAACACGTGCTATTGACACAGAAAATGTGATTTCGACTAAAAGTTTAAAACAATTTTTGCTTTATGTACATACTTATGTACATACAACACAATGTACAAAATTAAAGTAAAAAGTGAAAGTTAATTTTTTTGTTTTTATTTATAGACTGGGTTAGTTAACAAGCCTGGATTTTATTAATTTTTTTTATTTTTGGCATTTTTTTTCTTTGTGTTTAAGATTCAAGTTTTCAATTGTTATTAAAATTAAATTTCAAGTATGAGGTTTTGAGTTGTGTACACTTATTGTGTCAAGTCTCATTGCTTTTTAAAATAGTATATATATGTATACTCAATGGTATATTTATGTATGTATACTCGTATGATATTTTAGCAGAAAGAATAAGATTGGAGAATGACCTAAATAGTTTCATAATAAAAATGTTCAGGAAAAGAATCGGGCAAAAACAATATAAGAAACCACAAATAAAAAGGAGGTTGGTTTTTAATTTCGGTTTTATTTTTATATTGAACAAATAAAATGCTTATTTAAAATAAAAGAATATTTATAAAAATGCGAAAATTCCCCAATGGTTAAATTTAATTGAAGTTGCTAAGCATTGGGCACCAAACATGACCTTAATACTAAATGGAAAGAATTTGCTTTTTTTACATAAAATATTTTTGCAAATTTTACAAAGCAAATTTTTATTTTAATTTAAATTGAATATTAAAGTTTTGCTTAATTTGATTTTATAAATTTTTTATTTTCTGTAACACTAAACTGTAGATTATACACATTTTCTAAAATGAATTGACAACATTCAATTTAAATTTGAATTAGAGTAGCTATTATCATTTAATTTTGCATAAATTTAGGAAAAATTTTAGGGTGTGTAAGTACATACATAAAATATACATATTCAAAAGAATTTTTGAAGAATTGTTGTTGTGCATTAATTTAGTTAAGGAATAGGAGATTTTTGAGCAAAAGTACAATATGGAAGTTTAATAGAGTTTACCGTTCTACACGGAAACAGAGAAAAATTGGCATTTTGCAAAAGTTAACGAGTAATTACTCATAAGGAAGAAGAGTTACAAAGAAATTATGTTGCAGTTATATATAACAATTATCGACATCAATACATTGTTAAAATCTCAGTTCCTCACCTTGGTCCGTTAATAAAATTTACAAATTCTTCTTACAAATTCTTCTTATCAAAAACTTCCATTTTCATAACTTCGAAGAGTTGTACAGAATAATGCCTTCACTAAGTCATATTTGGGTACAAAAATTCAGCAATCTCTCCAATTCAGCAACCCACGAATGGATAAGTGGACAAATTAACTAATGAATAGAACCTAACAGGCAAACTAATACGAGTAACTAATAAATTTTTTTTCTGAATTTTACTGATCTAAGCTTTCAGTTCTGTGAAATAAAGCTGAGACCAATATCCGAAAACGGCTAAAACGAAAATCAAATAGATTAATTATTTAAAGAAAAAACTAAAAACTTATAAAAAAAACTGTTATACACATTCTTATTTCATTCATTAAATAAAAGGAAAAAAGTAAACAAAAACAAAAAAGAAAGAAAAATGAGTGTTTTTGTTTTTTCTTTTTATAACTTTTAAGAATCGGTTACTATATAAGCTTTTCATTAATAACGGAAAGATTCATAACAACAAAGTTCAGTTGAATTTTGACTGTTGAACCGGTAACAGTGGCCGCAAGTAAATATTTTTTTTTTGCGTCTAGATATTAGAGAAGTGTGGAACCATTATAACGGTTTCTTTTATTTTTTTTAACAAATTGCACCATTTTAATATATTCATTTTGGTGTGGAATAGTTAAAACTAAATCGGTTTTGTTAATAAATATTAATTTAGGCAACTTTATCATTATTAAAATTTTACAAATATAGAAAAGTTAACGGAAAAAAACACGTTATTTAACTTTAAATGAGTTGAAATAAAAAAAATATCAAGTAATAATTTGTTATCGAAAATATATGTTTTTTTAATAAGCATCAAGGATTTAATATTTAATAAATATAGGAAAACAGCAGAAAAAAAACAAGAACATTAATAAAAAATATGACAAAATTAATTTTACACGGACACAAATTAAGTCCTTGTGTTCGATCAGTTTTAATTGTTGCTGAAGCAATCGGTTTGACCGATGATCAATTAAAATTTAATTTAATTAATTTATTTAACAGTGAACATTTAACAAAAGAATTTTTATCAATGAATCCAGTTCACAGCGTACCAGTGTTGGAATGTGATGAAGGTTATATTATTGATAGTCACGCAATTACAACATATTTAGTTACAAAATACGCCAAAAATGATAAATTATATCCGAAAGATCCATTTAAACGTGCGTTAGTCGATCAAAGATTACATTTTGATTCTGGCATATTGTATATACGTTTAAGAAACGTTTCGGTAAGCAACGAAAATATTTTATTATTTGTTTTTTGATTTAATTAGCAGAAACAAATGCTAGTTTGTTTTTTTTTTTGATGATTTAGTTGTGTTTGACGTATGAACAATTTTTAAGTTAAATTGAGATAGACAATGTGTTGTTAACAATACAAATATGATCAAAATTCTTCCTATATTTTAATTGAAAACTAATTGAATAAAATAAACATACATATACATAAATATGAGTACATTATGAATATGTACATACATATGTGTATTTGGCTGTTTGCTATAATGGAAGTAGGCACGTACATATTCATTAAATGTTTCTATGTACGTAAATATTGCTAAAAATTAAGGTGAATCTTATGTCTATGTACATTATGGAAGGACATTCAGTACTAAATTTAATATTTTTATATTGTGTTGTATACTATTTTTGATGAGCATTGAATAAGTTTAGTGTAGCTCGAATCTCTGAATTGGCTTTCGGTATCTTACAATTTGCAATTTGATTGTTTTCTCTTGATAGGGGTAAATTTGTTTTTTATATCGACGATCCGTATTTCAGTCTTTGTATATGCAAAAACTTTATTCAATTTTTATACAATTTTTTGCTGGAAATTGATCAAAGAATCATCTCTGAAATTATTTGCCATCTTATGCGAAATATTTTCAATGTAAAAAATAAATGGAAACGAAATATTATATTTATGCAAATTTCTATTTCCTCTCCGCTTTTATTTCAGTTCAATAATCAAACGTTTAAGAAGTCTTCCTATCCTACACACTATATATTTATATATTAGAATAAATGGTCGAAATAATGGCAATACCACAATAAAAGTGCATCTTAAATTATGCTTTTTTAAACTAATAAATAAATCAAATATGTTTTAAAATTAAAAGTGTTTTAAAATCAAAACAAATTTTGAGGAAATAACGCATTTTAACAAATTTAATAACTAACAGGAATTGATGTAATAACGTGAACTAGTTGCACAGCAACATTCTTACAATATTGTTATTTTAATTTATGCGATTACAACTAGCTTAACTGGATTTACACATATTGTACGAACTTACATACATGCATATATGTATACATTTATTTCTGTTCTCAAATTTAAACATTTAACTACAAATTTTATAACTTTAATTAAAAAAGTTTTGTTAATTATTGCCTTTAATGTACATCATTTATGTACCTTTAAAAAAATTTAAGTTTTAAATGGCACTTAACTCCTCAATATATGTATAGAATTATAAACAAATGCATAAAACAAGTTCAATAGACATTTGGATGATGTTAAAAATAAATCTGTATAATTATTGTTATCAAAGTAATTTTAAGCGTGTGTTAATATAGAGTACTTGCATAACTATGAATTGTATAGCATTTAATTATAATTGGTATAATCGTTGTATTTCATTTTACCAGTATAATGTGCTTTTGCTTTTTTCTTCTCCTTTTCTAATATTAAAAAAAATATTGATTAGATATTTTATAGAAATATAAAGAAGACGAAAATTCTACAAACGATAAGAGAAAATTAAACTTGTGTATTTGGTTATTTTCATAATTTATGTTATAAGCGTGTTACATATTTAGTTTAATCAGTGTTCATTGCAAATTGACACGTGTAATCCAATAATATAATTTGTATCGCATGTGTAAGTTTCTTTTTTTTCTGTTTTTCTTTTAAATTAAGATTTTATATACAATAATTATTGTTCAGATTAATAAACCTATAGACAGGCTATATGATATTATGTTGAAGTTATTTTATTTATTTATCTTATTACGGCTGACTAGAAATCATTATTATTTATATATAAATTATGTTATAAATATGTTTTGTATATTCAATATGTATGCCTAAATGTATATAACGTACATGCATATACACGTACATATTACATATACATACATGTGGAATATGTACGTATATATTGTTCTTCTTTTAGGTTAAGTTTTAATCTTTTTAAATAAAAAATTCTAATTTTTTTTGGAAAAAAGAATGGTACCAATCGAATTTTTTTTATAAATTACAAAAAAGAAGATGTTGCTTGTACTTACAAAGCGGGAAACGTTTATTATTAATATACGTTGTGTCTCAAGAAATACGAATGATGCACATCGGTTATTATTTTTATGATCTTTATAGTTTATTTATTTAGAAATTGATTTTCATAAATTCATCAAAATTAATTACATTCCAATACAATACAAGCCATATTCACATAAAGCAGATTACAAAATATTAACTTAGAATATAATTAACATATTTTTGTGGGGTTATTGCGCGGCTAATATTTTATGAGTTATTTTTGTTTAGATGATTATTAAAACAAAAAAAAAAGACAAGAGTGTAATGGAAATGGAAGAGATTTCTGAAAAAAACGGCTTGAAAGTTTATTAGAATAAGAGTACAGAGCATTTATGAGAATGACTCTTCTGCCATTTCTGCAATACATTTCTTAATTTTACAATAACAAAACTTTACAATAATGAAAGCATTATTAAATGATATGGCCACCTTGTATAGTATCGGTATAGACTCAAAACGTTTAGTTAAATTAGCATTTTTAAAATTTTGCAAACACAAAAAAGTAATACTGGCTTCTTCTACTATGGTATATTTGAAATTTGAAAAAACTAAATAGCCGTTAAAATTTAACGTTACCTAAAGTCCTTTTGTTTTTTAAATTTTTAATTTTTTTTTCTAGACTTCAGGTTGTAGGAGTCTGAAATGCAAGCAGCTTTTAGATATTAATAAGTAGTTTATTTCGTTAGAAGAAAACTTTTTCATCTTCATTCCTTCTTAAATTATCGCGTCTCGAAATTTGCAAAATATGAACTTGTGAGAAGAAAACTAACGGTAAAGATATTACATTAAAACATATAAAAATTTCATTAAAAAATATAATTATTTTTTTTTTAACTCATGCAATAAACCTTTAAAGACGAGCATTATAAGTTAACGCCTGTTTAAATATTATTTAGTTTTATTTCAAAGGTTACATACATTACTTATCCTAAATGTATGCATTCTTTAAAATATATTCATACATGAATAAAAGTAATTTTAATAATGTAGTGCATTATGTACTCCACTACTCCCTTTATTTGACCCATTTTTATTTTGGTTTAGAGACCAAATTTGGCTTGACATTTTTAAATTTTTATTCATTTAAGAAATACTTGTTTACATAAGTATAGATATAAAATGGTTTAATTTGCATTGAAGCTTTAATTTCATTTTCAAAAAGGGATTCTTGCTTAAATTGCATATTATAGTTCTTGCGCCAAAAGTAGGTCTGATTAAAAATAAATATAATATATATACATATGTTTTTACATATGTATATTTGCGTCAATAACACATTATTCGTTATTCGTTAAATTTTTGTAATTATGTATATATAAAATGTATATACATGGGCAATGTCTGTACATATATCAAATGAAAAATTAAATTAAATGTTTTATGCGATTTAAATAATTAAATATATTTCAATTCTAAAGTATTTTATTACAAATATTTCTATAATTTATTAATTCTCAATAATATGAGCCTTCATAGTCAACACACATATACAGATGCACTCCTATTATATATGTACACATTATAATAATCCCTACAATTTATTTATTTACAAATTGATTTCCGCAAAGAAAAAGTAAACAAACTAATCATCAAAATTAATTACATTTCAATACCACTTGCAAACTAAATACATATGTATATTTAAAGGGTATTATGATTTACCACACGCTTTATAACACAGATGATATGCATATTCTTATTTAGGTTTAAATTTTGAGTCAATTAAGTTCAGTTTAATTGTGTGCTTCTTTACTAGTACGCCAAGCAATGTCACTGAAACGAATTGACTGAAGGTAACTAAGTTCCTACCGGATTCCTTAATGTGATATTGAATTTTTAGAACGTGTTTTTTCAACAAAAACTACATATTATCTAGTCTCGACTTGTTATTTCTTAATAATAAAAGTCATTATTATAATTTTTTTATTTAAGTTGAGTTGAGAATCCAACAAAAGATTGTTTATTGCTTGTTGAGCAAATATTCCATAAAAATAAAAAAAGTTCGGTTTGATTAGAACTGTGGTTTTCAATAGCATTCAACCCTTCAATAATTGTAATTTAATTAAATATAATACGAAATAAAACGCTGAAATCTTCCATAAGCGAATTAGAAGTTGTTGTGTTTGTAAATGCGTTAGAGCTGCTAGACGATCTATAATTGATATACTCAATAAAATTACCAAAACCAATTGCACTATAAATGTCATACAGTTGACATGATCAACTATACGTTTTTCGGCTTTCAATTAATATGTAATTACTATGATAACAATGTAGTAAAATTAAATGAACGGTAATGACATGTCACTTGTGAATGAAGATTTGTTATGTTCATGCACAAATTCAATGTGATTTGCAATTTAAGCACATATACAAAGCGAAAATGTTTACTCACAAGAGTGAATTCTCAGTAATCGAGTATAAGATTTTAACTCAAATAGTATATTATATGTAGATGTATTATTATTTCATTTGATTATGTAGGTGTATTGACATATGTAAATATTTATAGTTTTATTAACACACAACACATGTTAATAAGAACAGCAGAAATACAGTCAATTTAATTTTAAAAATTATTGAAATTGCTAAATTTTGTAATTTACTAGTTGTTCTATGTAATTGCTTTAAAATAAATTGAAGAACAAATATAGTGAACAAAGCGAACAAAATGAATCCGACAAATGTATTAGTAACTTTCAAATTAGAATTGCATTTTTTCAAGGTATACATACATACATACATACTGATTTCTTCAGTTGAATTTTCGGATATCGAGCTTGTGAAAAACAAAGTGAAAAAAAAGGATGAAAGAATTTCCTCAACTGAAAATTAATTTACTATATTCAACTAATTCACTTTTTTCTCACACGGTGAACAAGAAGGTGAAATAGAGAATTAGGCTCTATTATATATTATAAGCAGTTTTGACTATAAATAGAGAATTTTATTTTACGCAAGTATTGTTAATAATTGATAAACATATTGTGATAAACTTTAATAACAATTAAATGTTTATCGGATCAATAAACAATTACCGCGTGTTTATAATTTCCAAATTAAAAAATTTTTATAATCAATATATGTACATATGTATGTACATGTGTACATACAGGAATTTGCACAACTTAAATTCGAAAAAGTAATTGAAATTAAGCTTTTATTAAATTTGTCAGTTTGTAATTGAATACTTTGTGGGGTTGTGTCAAATAATGTGTTATAAATTTATTGTTTAATTAACATCTAATATATTAAAGCCATATAAACTATCATACATGTTTAAAATGAATATTCAATATTTTTATAATTTATTATATTATTTAAAAAAATATTTTGAGGTTTATTCTAGCTTTCACAGTCAATATGTCAGGGTTTTTTCATAACGTACCTGTCAAAATGTTATAAATGGATTTCATGTCAATAATTATTAAATTAAAATTTAAAAGAATTATTAGAAATAAAATGTAATTTTTTAAACATGCTTGAAGTAATTCAATAAAATTTATAAAATATTTTGTTACATAATATAACTTTAGATTTATTGTTTAAACTATGACGCATAATATGGTTTTATGATTGTATAAAGAATATGTTTATAACTTTGTTTAATCAGGACTGTATTCCTGTTTTTTTTTTAAATTTGTCTTTAAAAATTAGTCTTTATATACTCGTATGTATGCACAAAGTTGTACTTTTGTTGCTTCACTTCCTTCCATAGCATAGAGCTTCTACAAAGTTTCTCCATTGAACACTATTTCGTCAAGATATTTGTATTTCTGGCCATATTTTTCCAATTGCTATGCGACTGACCTCCTTCATCCAACTAGTGGTTTTCCTATTGAATTATTAATAAGCAGGTTTGAATTATTCTAGACGATTCATGAGAGACCACTAAATATCTTTTGGTGACGTTAATATTCTCTTGTCAGCTTATCCTGCACAATGTTTAATAGTATAGGCGGAAATGGTAATTCCTTTTTCATACCTCTTTCCATTCTGACTGGGTCACCAAGAACTTTGTTGTTTTGTAATCTGGTGTCTGTGAATGCTTTCAAATGCTTCAGTTTATACACTCTCGTTTTTTTCTAAATTCGGCCTGTTGTTCCCGCAGGTGTTCCTCAACTGATTTAGGGCTGATTCTTACATCGAGGATCGTGAAACTCCTCTTCTTTTTCTAAATGTTTTTCTCTTTTAGGCTATATAGGCACAAAGTGGTAACTTGTAATTAAGTAAATTGCGAAACGGTCTTTTGCAGAGTTTATGCATAAAATTTTGAAGAAATATCAAAAATTTATGTATTTTTCATCTGAAATTTATTTTTAACTTTCTTTATTATACATATAAACATATACATATGAACATATTATGTATGTAAAATTTTTTGTTTTTTATTTTAGATGGGTATTTATCATGATAAGTCAACAGAAATTCCAAAGGAAAGAATTGATACAGTTTATGAAGGATTTGAATTTATGGAAAAGTTTTTAGAAAATGATTTGTATTTAGCGGGTAATTCGTTAACTCTAGCTGATTTACAATGCGTATGTACAGTAACATCTTGTTTTGGATTTGCCCCAATTAGTGAAGAAAGATTTCCAAAATTATTCAATTGGCTAAAAAGAATGTATGAATTACCTTATTATGAGAGAGGAAACGGAATTGAAAATTTGGCTTATGTTAATTTTCTAAAGGATACATTAAGAAAAAAAAAGGAAGCACAAATGAAGGGATCGGGCTTTAATATTTTTCATTTTAATGATCATAGTGAACTTAACAGTTAGTTACTAATGAATATAAAATGAATGTAAATTTAAAATATTTTAAACGAAATATTTATGTGTAAGGCGACACACCATATTTATGCAGTATTCAATAATTAATATAAATATATGGTTAATCAAAATTCACTTAAAAACTTAATAACATTTTTAGTTTTTTAAGCAAATAATAACAAATTTTGACGTTTTTGCTCTCAATAAAAATATTTGGACCCAACGCTCATAATTTATCCCCATTTTACCAAATTTTCCTGTGCTTAACATATTTTTTCCAATGGGAAACTTAAATTAAACAATATTAAAAAATATGATAATTAGGAAATCTACACAAATTTTTGTACGTGCATAAAACTATATACATAGTCTTTATTAACGTTAGCAATAACGTAAGTTTACTTATTGCGTGTAAAATTTTTCAAAATTTTTTCAAACTCATTACTGTAATTCTGAAAAGTATAACTCATTGCCTCACTTCTCATGAATTAACTGATTGAGTTGTTTACAAATGTTTGATTTACTTCATTCATATAATTTGAAATGTAAAAAATTGGAATGTTTAATTTATTTTAAACATTTAGTTATATGCATTTACCAGAATCATTCATATATTGTAAAGCACATATGTATATATAAGAGACATTAGAGACATACTCTATAATTACATGCAAACATACATCATAAAGATTTTATTTTAGTATTGTAAGAGGTATTTTAGTTTGATTTTTAAAAAAATCTTATTTTATTATTCAATATGTAGAATAAAGCATAGGTGTATACGTAGCTTTAAAACTTCATTTACCTAATACTCTTGGTATTATTGTTTTCTTTTACATAAAATAACTTGTTAGTAAACTACAAATTTATTTAAATAAATTTATCTGAGGATTTGGATACAAATATATAACTTCGATATTCATTTGGCTATAATTTCGGATTAGGCTTTGACAAGAGAGAATATGATGAAAATAACTGTATTTTTTGACTTTCCTGGAATCATTTTGTAAACCTGAATCCATTCTGAAAATATAGTATACAGATTGATATTTCGCTTTGACTTTTGACTTTGAAATATTGTTTGAATAATTAAAATATTATAAAATGTTGAAATTATTATACAAAATTAAATGAAATTTTTTTTATATATGTATGTACATACTATGTTATATAGTCGCAACAATGAACCTAAAGTCACAGGTTTGCTGTTTAACATTTTTATTCTGGAACCAAAATGTGTAAATTTATGAATCGGAGGCAGACGATAACACTGCCAAGTCATCTTTAAAAAAAAGTGTCAACTTTTTTTTTAATTTGAATTCAATTAATGATTTCAAATTGTTTAAGGTTTGAATTTGCGAAAATTATTATTAATGCTATAGAAAAACTATAAAAGAGGTAAACGGCATATGTCACTGTCTCAGTATCGAAATAAAAATAAAAAACCTACAATTATTCAACTATTTTGGAATTACACTTTATCGAAAATGTGCTGCACTCGAGCGAATATGAATATATATACATATGTGTGTATATATGTTCCATTTTGAATGGAAAATGTAACGATCAGAATTCTATGCAAAATATGAAAGAATCAACATAATACAGCTTGTATCACATTGTGATAATAGCATGTATATAGATATACATAATATATAAAATTAGCGTATGATGTAAAAAAACCCTTAAATTTTTAAGGGAGAAATAACTTACAATTTCTGTTACAATATCGAATTTCAAGTATAATTTAAGATTTTTTAATATGATGGTAAATAAAGTTTTAATGACCCTGTGCCCAAATTATTGTTTTCTTCAAATATGTTTGTTCTTAATATATTTTTTTAATTTCTTCTACAAAATAGTTTAAATGTACCATAAGAATCTTTAAATTCCATATGATCTCATTCAATCTCTATGTTAATTAGATTAAATATAAGATAAAAAAATATATAGGATTTATTTAATATTCAAATACTAAATACCAATCATAATATAAAAAATCTTGTTTTACATATTAAAACAAAGTTCAAAATTGAAATTCAAATAAATTTAAATTTGAAAATATTTTGCTTTGATGTACATACATACATACGTATTATTATAAAATGTATTTAAAGGTGATGATGGAACAGTTAAAAAAATATTTACATTTTAATATAATATCCGAATAAGATTAATATATTAATTGATAATGAGTTTAGCTATAAAGAACGAAATTTAATTAAAATAATGATTTATAAAAAAAATGGCGCACATAAAAAAAGATATAAACGTAATAAACAAGTTGTTATATTGGAATTTATAAAAATTGCTGAATGATTCACTGTGTATTGAAAGTATCAAACATAACATGTTTTAATATAATAATAAAAGTAATATAAATATGTTTAATTAATTCGAGGATTTATTCGGATTAGAGTTATATGTCATTCACTTTACCTATCTGTTATACCGACTAATTTTCTTAAAACTTTTAACCGAAAATGTTTTCCCTTTTATCTGTTGTTATATGTACATATGCATATCAAACTGATATATTATAATTGTTGTTGTAATTGTATTATAATTAAAAAAAAGTTTTAATAATTGATTGGTTTACCCGATTTTACATTATTTTTTCTAGATTTAATTTTAAAATAAAATTTTGTTAAGGATTTACATACTCAGCAGCATTTATTTGTTCTACTCTTTAATACAACGAACAAGCAATGATTTAACAAGTTTGTGGGTGCATGACGTAGAGAAAACCGATTAGTATGTAAATAAATTTCTATTCAAGTAGGTACTTACATATATTAAGTAAAATGAGTATGCTGTATTGCACTAAATAACAGTAAGTAAATTTTATAATATAATTTTGATTTACAACAAGAAGAAAAGCTTTAAGGAAAAGAAAGAGAGAGAGGGAGAGAGAGCTTTTGTAATTCTTTACAAAATAATGACATTTCTGACCTTTTTTATTTTGTGTAAGATTTGTTTGTTCTTCTTTTTTTTGAACGGATATTAGAAAGAGTAAATATGTAATTATAACAACAAGTATTTATAGGAAAAAAAAGAATTATAGAAATTTGTTTGAATAAAAGTAAATAAAAAAAATATGTAACTAAAATTAGGTAAACAAGGAAATTCATTTTGTACAAAAATGAAAATACAAAATTTATTTCTTACATTTACATTCAGTTGTTATTCAAATACGTACCTGCTAACATTAAAAAAGTGTCGAGAGAAAATTAGTTTAAAAATTTAAATTTTAAAATAAAAATTATTTTTTGTTTAAATAAATAGTGTGTATTTATTACAAACACAAAGTTTTTATTCAAACATAAATTTGTATAGAAAAATTATTAATATAAAAAAGTCAATATGCCAAAAATACCCACTTTACATTATGCATTATTCAGTCCACCAGCTCGCGCTTGTATGTTAACTGCAAAATTAATTGATTTAGAATTAGATTTAAAGTAAGCAAAATTAATTGAAAATAAAAAGATTTTTAATAAAAACTAACATACATACATATGTACAAACATCGCTTGTTTTCTGCAACAATAACGCATAAATTAAAATTTGCACATTTGTGAAAAATACCACAGTTAAAGTTATTTTTCTCGCTATAGCATTATTTTACAAATATTTTGTAAGCGACAATTTTCAAGAGAAATGTTTTTCAATTTTCAATGTTTTAAGTGATCATTTCTGTTATGTACATAACTCGGAAATCGATTTTTTTTGGTTATGTCACTATTGTAGCAAATGAGCGACATACTTACATATGTATATTGTAAAAATAAATAATTAAAACATTTTTGCATAATGCATAACGCGAACTATAATGAGTTTTATAATTTTTGTTATAAAATTCCTTATCTAATAAAGCAATTTTATTATGTTATACTTATACATATGTGCATACATATATATTTATTTTTTCGTGTATATGCAAAAATTAGGTTTGTTGACTTTTCTAAAAAGGAACATTTATCTGTAGAATTCATTAAGGTGAGTACTTATCTATGTTTAATGATTTTAAGTAGCTTCCTGCATACATTAATGGAAATGCATGTTGATCATAATTTAAGAATTTTATTTAAATTAGCCTAAAACAAAATTTAAACAGTAAAAGTGTATGCGCTTTATCACACTGCATCATGCATTTTATTTTAATATAAATATACATACGCATTTAAAGAATGTTTGAAAATCAATATTTTGCATTTTTAGTTTTTATCTGTTTGCAAATAGTAAATATACATATAAAAGTCAACAGAAATACAAGTGGAACAATGTTATAACGTGTCTACAAAAACATATTATTTAATACGAGTTATCACATACATAATTAACACATACATACATACATGTGCAGATTAAATTATACTTGTATATGTGCTTTAATTAATTAAAATTGCAAAGTATTTATTATTTAATTAAATTATTTAATTAAATTTAGTAGTTATTTTTAACACAAATTTTGTAGTGTAACGTTTAGAAGTCAAAATCCATTAGACTTCTGACATCTATAATCAAATTCATTGCTCATAAATATTGTAAGATGGAGTTCTAATTTTGTAATTTGAACACATCGAACTTTCATTAAATCAAACATACTCCATAAATAAGCTTGATAGTGTAAAACATGTACTTTAACTGTTATTTCATACATAATTATATGTATGTATGTATATGTATGAATTCTCATTTGCTTGGTTATTGAAAATTGCTTGCAACTTTTTTTTTCAATTATTCCTAATTTTATTTGACTAATTTTTAATGCAGTTGAACACAATAAAAATTATATACCTAATTTTTATTGCAGTTGAACCCTCAACATCAAATTCCAGTTTTGGTAGATGATGGAGAAGTTATTTGGGACAGGTAACATCTAGTGCTAATGTTATTTTATAATACCTTAAAAAATTTATGACATTCCATTAGCCAAATAACAAATTTGCCTATAAGACAAATCAATTACGTGAAAAAATTAAATATTTGCAAATTGTATTAATTAATCCCATTTTATATATTTTATTTGTATTTTATGGCTTAAATATTTTTGTTTTATCTAGGCTATTGATTTACTTTATATGCGTATCGTTGTCACTTTCAAAACTTAAATGCAAAAATGTGTGTTTGTGCATTAATACGTAAACCGTATGTTCGCAATTAAAAATAGTATTAATTTTAAAAATAAAAGTATCGACCAAGGTAGCTAGGTTAAATGTCGTTTATATTTTTTCAAAAAAAAAAGAAAAATAAAATAAATTTTTAAGATTTGAGAAACCTAAACTTTTAAAACTTTTCTTCTGTTTTTGGCTTTTTTCTCTTACACTATTTTAATTTTCTTATTGTCAATGAATGACCTTCTCCACACTTGTTTGTATCGTAAACTAAAATTATATAAAATTCATTCAAAAAACTATTCGATGGTTGGCACATTCAATGCTTTTGTTTAAATAAGTACGATACATGTGAATGTATAAAGTAAATATTTGGTATAAGTGGTGCTGACACATGTAGAAATATTTTTCTTCTGAAGAAAAAATTGGCTATAACAATGAACAATAACGTATGCCCTCTTATATTTTGTCTATACGCGTAGGTATATTAAGTATTTGTATTTTGTAAAATATTCTTTATGAATGGTTTGTTTTTGCTTTTTATGCTTTTCAAGTGCAACAATTACAAAAAAAATCAAAACAGCGAAAGTCAAGGCTATTAAATTTAATGTTTATAAATGTTTTTAAATTTTTTTATCATTGCATGTGGCTTGTACGATTTAGTCATGCTATAATGTGCTACATGGTATCGAAGTGGGCCAAAGATGATAAATTATATCCAAAGGATTTAGTAACCAGGGCACGTGTTGATCAAAGGCTTCATTTTGAAAGTGGTGTACTATTTCAAATTATAAAAGATATGGTGGTAAGAATCAAGATCATTTAGATTTATTTTTTATTTTCCAATTTTAATAAAAAAAAATTAAACTCATTCAAATATTGTTTTAAGGATCATCATTCCTTAACAGATGTTTAAATACTTGAAACATATAAGCTGTTATAAATTTATTGCAATTTTAACTTAATTTTACCAAAATTTTATGTATATATATACAGGCACGTATAATTTATGGAAATGAAACTGAAATTAATCCTAAAACAATTGAAAATGCACACACAGCATATGATTTAATGGAAAAATTTCTTAATGGTCATGAATTTTTTGTTGGAAATCATTTAACAATAGCTGATATATCAATTCATACAACACTTTTAACGCTAAACAAATTAATTCCTGTAGTAAGACCTAGGTAAATATTAGTAAACAATTTTTAATATTTAGTGGAGCTTAATACGAGTATTAAAATTTCAATATTTAGTCAAATTTAATTTTTAAAATTTGAATTAATTTGACTTTTTCATTCGCCTCGCCTTTATATGTACGCATATCTATAAAAAAGTTCCATATAGTCTAATTCGATTACCGAGTTTAAAAGTTTCAAAGTTTTGATTTTATATTAAATTAATTTAAAATATCCAGCGATTCAATTTTGCCAGACCGAAATTAACTTTGAATTCTATTCGGATGTATTTTTCTACGTAAAATAGACATTTTTCAAAATTGATGGGCACCTTTAAAAATTTAAATACTTTAAGTTAGTCTGCCTCCAAATTACACTAAAAATATGTTTTAATTTTTTATACTGCTCTTACTTATTTCTTTTATTCTTCTTTTGAAACTTTTGTTTTTCTTTTTCTTAGATTTCAACAGACATCTATGTGGTTGTCATACGTGAGTAGAATACTACCAGAAAATAAGGAAATTAATGAAGCAGGTGCTGAACAGTTGTATTTAAGGATTTTATCATGTTTAAATGAAAATAGGAAAAAAGTAGGATTAGCTGAGATACAACCAGAAGAGAAATTTCCACATGAAATTGAAAGAAATTTAGGACCATTACTAAATCGTCCAGCTGAGGAACATATAAGTAAAATTCTGAAATATTGAAAAAAGTATAAGGCACTAATAAAGTAAACAAATACGAGTACATAAAAAATTTCTAACATTTTTATAACAGTTAATCATCTGAATTGTGATTTTAATAAATTACATACTTATATTTTAAAATTTATATGATGAAATAAAATTATTAAATACATATATTTGAAGATAACTGATTAATCAAAAAATGTTTTTTCTTTGTTTTTAGATAAACAGATTTATTTATTTTATTTTACGAAAGCCATACGGAATATGTTAAGTTTTATTTTTATTTGCTTTTACTAAGAATACACAAAAAAAAAGTAAAAAATTATGCAGGTAAAAAGATTTTAAGGATTTTAAAGGATTTTATTCGCTCTACAATATTGCAAATCTTGAAAAAACAATACCTTTGAACTAAAAATCAAAAAGAACAAATTGGAATCTAAGATCGCAACAATTTTAAATTTATTACAACATTACGAGTAATACCACATTAATTTATTTTGTTCAATATGAAATATGTTTAACAAAAAGAAAGATAAAAGAAGGAAAAATTCAAAGAATATACATATTTTAAATTTGTAAATTAACTTTATTTTTCACACGATTAATACAAATTATAATTTTATTGCCGTTTTTGAAACATTGAATTCTTCACAAATTTTTTTTAACATATCTTCTTTTTCTTTATAATTTAAGTTATTGTGGATTTACAAATTTTTGAGTTTATAATTTTGAAAAATATTTTTTATTATTTAAATAATAATCTTAGTTTTGAATAATTTAAAAATTTCTCTTATCCATATAATAAATTTTTCACACGTTTATATTTTTTGTTATAAAAAAAATCTCTCACAATTCATTCGTATTGATTCATTCACATTTAAAAAAAATTTCGTTTGATTTGTTCGATATTTTTTTCTTTTATAGTTGAAATATTTTATTTTGAAGATAAAATTTTTAAAGTATATATTTGATACATGTATTTAATTAGTTTAAAATCTAATAAAAATACAATATATGATTATTCTAGACCTCTAAATTCTTTATTTTATAAGTGATTAATTAGGTATTATTATAGCATTTATAGTGAAAAAATAAGAAAACATATTTCTAATTGGTATTATAGTTTAACGCTTGCTGAGCTTACATTCTTAACTATTACTAATTTGTGTTATTTTTGAATATGAATTTTATTAAAATATTACTAGAACTGTTCTTATTCTTACATTTTATAAAAAAACAAAAATATTGTTTGTAATTTTAAATGCATATTATAAAGCTTCTATTGACAAATTTAGTAAATATCGTAAAAATTGTTCTAAAATATTTGCATTTTCTAATTCATTTTCTTCTAGTGCTGAAAACTACCATATTTACTTCCCATTGAAAATTCATGCGACACAACTATTTGCGGTACTACTGTATTGTATACATAAGTACAAATTTCATCTGCAAGTAATACATTTAAAATGTTGCCACTAAAAAGAGTCTATTTTTTTTATATTATATATGTGTATAAAAATTTCATGTTCTCTTTTATATCTTCTTTGCACTTATTTTGAATTAAATATTGAAATAACTGATTTGACGAGAAAATAATAAAATTTGGTTATTCAATTAAAAATAATGAATATCAACTTTAAATGCTAGTTTGATCTTACAAATACCAATTAGATAATTACAACAATGAAATTCTAAATAAACAAACTTTTAATATGCTTATAAGAAAACAAGAATATTATAAAATTTCTAAAACTAATTAACAAAAACAAAAAAAAAGAATATATGTAAGTAAGAATATAAAAGTTGTTTTAGTTGTTATAAAAATAAGTTCTGTAAGTTTGGAAATATTTTTGAATGATATCTTTTTAAAATTGATTTTAAAGTTATTAGGTGAGCTTGAATAACAATGAAAACAGAATATTTAACTAAATCAAAAACAAAGAAATTTTGAGATAAAATTAAATTGTTAACTCAATAAATTATTTAACTAGTCTTTCTCTATTCAAACAAAAATTTAATATATAAAATAATCTTAAATTTTATGGAAACAAATATAAATTTAATGCTCTTAGAGGTTGAAACCCTTTTTTACAATTTGACATTATGTTTTATTTTTAAATAAATTTTAAATTAAGTAAATTTGAATAAAATAATTTTAGAACAAAGTGAATTAGCTAAAAACTAATGAAATGTTTAACAAATTAATACACAATTTTTTAATTTATTAAAATTCAAGGCTAAAGTTTTATTTTGAACAAAATTTTGAAAAAAAGCCCGATTATTTCTAAATTTATTACTGTTGCATTTAGATGTATGTATTTATTTATTGAGTAGATTAATTTTATTCGTATACAATACTCTTTTGAACTGTATTTTAATTTTACATTAAATTGTAATATTAGTTTAAATATTATATTTTAGAGTTTACAATTTTTTGAGCAATATCATATAAGAATGATTATCAACTAATTTATTATAATAAATTCAAGAAATAATTTTATGTTTGTAAAAATGTACACATTTATGTTATAATAGATATATTATAATAACTAAAAAAAAAATTAGTAAATTGTTTTGGCAACAAAAAAAAAGATATTTTTACAAAATTGATTGCCGTTTTGTATAGTGCAATAATTAATATTTAATTACTTAATGGTATTAAATAATATTGTCCAATACGAGTGTCAGTCTAATTTTTTCCAAAATTATATTATGTCGTCTATTTATGTACGCCGATACAATAAATTTTATAAATTAAATTTTTCATACAAATATGCCATTAAAAACAATTATTATTACAAAATTAAAAAAAAAAAGAACTTTTTTTTTTAATTTTGAAAGAAAAAAAGAAAAAAAAGAATTTTGATTTAATAATTGTTTGAAGAAAAGTTTAACTAATTTCAAATGTGTATTGTGTAATTTATTAATATTTTAGTATTTAAAACCTGTCCTTTATAGACAACCTTATACTACAGTATAAAAATTAAATTTAAATTAAATGCTTAATTTGCATTTTATTAACTTCTAATTCAATTTATAATTTTATTCAAAGTGGATGTTTAAATTTGTTTCTTAAATTCAATTTAAAACTGATTATAAAAATTTAAAGGTTTAATAAAAGATGAACGATTTTCAATGGTTTGCTATCTAACTGGAGAATTTTTGTTTTTCCCATTTCTTCGTTTTCAGTATTTCTCTAACATTTTTTGTTAGAGAAAATATTTGTACATAACCATACGAGTACATACTTTATGTTCACAATTTTGTTTGAATTTAATGACATAGAACAAATGTGGCTTTAAAGCAAAATTTTACTTCTTTTGATACACTATTACTTATTTAATAAATAAAATAACCAACACATAAGCCAATTTTTTTTCAATCAAGCACTTACTTTAATTAAAAATTAAAATGCAGTACATTTTCACAAGTTAAATACCATTACAAAATATGTATTGTTTTTTTTTGTAAGTGTTATTTGTATGTATTTTTTCTTGTTCTACTAAGAGCTCTAAAATCAAAGTTTTCGTTTTTATTTGTGTACTAATTTAATTCGCAAAAAATCCTTTATTTCCAATATTGTCTTTTATACAAATTTAAATATACTATAAATTAATGAAAGAACTATCTGTTATATATACATATATATAATAAATAAACAAATTTTCAATCAAAAGTAGTCCAACTATTTATTGAATTAGCAACACTATTGCTACCGTCCCTATTGTCAATACCATTTACAAGAATATCACTATTTTTTATTAAAACTTTTTCGCCAAACACTTCATTTTTACCGTTTTTATTTAAAGTAAATTGATCCAAACCGTATTTTCTTAACAGTTCAATTTCATCATCACCTTCATTTTTCACATTATTAATACCATTATTTAAAATCTGAGCAATACCTTGTTGATTCCGATTATGTTGATTATGTTGAGGAGTAAAATACGGCAATACAGGACCATGAATAGGAGGTATTGTACATCCTGCTATACTATTTGAGTCTGTGTTACATAAAGTTGATTTGTTCATTGAATTGGAAATATAAGAGGGAATACTAGATGACATTGCTGCCGTTGAAGTTGGTATTACTTTTCCTATATTATTTAATTGGGGTATTGGAGATTTTCTTGAACTTCCAATTACAATTGAAGTAGGTATAGAAACTGGCCTTATTGGTGAAGATTGTGTTGGTATATCTAATTTTAATTGTGGAATTGGCTTGGCATTTTGATTTAATGGATCAAAATCTTCAATTTCAAAACTTGTATTATTGCTACTACTACTACCATCTTCTAAATTAATCAAATCAATAGGAGTTTCAGCTGTTGGCGTTTGCAAAGATTGGGAAGACTGTAAAATTAAAGTTAAGTGTTTTCATTGTGTAGGAAAAAAAAGATTAGTTATATTTGGTTAGTAATAATTTTGTGTGATTTGTGTGAAAATAAAACTTTAAGTAAAAACAAAAATGTTATAAATGAATTCAATTTCATTTTGCAATCTTCAAGCTTAAAAGCTGTAAGCACCCGAATGTTTTAACCAAAAAACCATAAAAAAATTAACAAATAAAACAAATTGCAACGACTTGATATGTATAATTAGTAAAACTCCAAATATAATGTAAAATTATTAGTAAATAATAATGGGTGGATAAAATATAGATTTTATAATCTTATACGTTTTTTTAAAAACCTAAACTATATATATATATATTTATTATTGTAAATTATTTTAGTGATTATTTTGTTTTAGTTAAATTAAAAATAAATTAACTGAAATAATACATAATAAACAATTTAATATGGCATTCAATTAAATAAGTTATTAAATATAAGGAAAGATAGAACTTGCAAGAACTATTTGTGTATGAATTCATTGTGTCGATTAGAAATTGCTTCAAATTATCTTATTTTAAAACATTTTTCACCAATAATTTCTTTTAAATTTGTTAAGACATGTGAATATGTATGTTTAAAAAATTAATTCGTTTTTCATAAGATGATTTTTTCAGATGGTAAAAGAAATCGGCCACGAATAAACAAAGGAAACTTTGGATAATTCATTGTTTTCGAAATTTACTTGCATTCACTTGAATTTTACTTGAATTTAAAGAAAATTTATTAAACAGTTTGAAATTTTACATTTTGTAGTAGGGTATTTAAATATATTTAAAAAAGTATCACAAATAGGAAAATTTATAGAAAATTGTTTAATTTTTATCGTTACTGAAGTTTTTCCAGATTAAATTAAATTTTTTTCAGATTAGATGGCTTATAATTAAATCAGATTCAATTTTCCTTCTTCGTCTTGTATTACTACTTACGATTGTAGATGTGTGTTTTGTGTAGTAAAATTTATTCTTTTTCTTGAAAACAATTTTTCTTTGCAGAAGAATTTTTATAAAACCACTAAGTCTGACAAGAAAATTTTGTTTATTTTGTTAAGTTTACCTATTAATTTCTGAAATAAGATTTGGTAAAACTTACTAAATCAATATAATAAATATTACAAAAGTGAGTGTGCCTAAATAATATTGTCGCACATCATATTAAAGAAGTTCCCCTCGTAAATTTCTTATAAATTTTAAAAATTCATAAATTTTAAATTATACAAGATTAATTAAAATTTTCGTTATAGAGACCTTTTAAAATAAATTAGAAATTAAAATATTAAAAAATAAGAAAATTTTAGCTTGAAAGATTTTTTTTTATTTCATTACCTCTTTAGGTTTTTGTCTTGGTGTTGGTATTGGAATTGGTTCATTGTTTATAGTCTTTTTTTGCAGTTGCTGTTGCTGTTGCTTTGCAATGCTAATATGATGTGCACTTCTATTTGGTCTACTAGGCGGTGGTTTTATACAAAAGAATTCGTTACTCTTACCTTCATTATTTGGAGCACTTAATTTTTTCTGCACTGAATATATATTTTTTTGCATTGGTTTTGCGACTGTGTTATGATCAACAAAATTATTTTCAAATTCATTTAATAAGATATCCTCTTTATTACGTTCAGTTATATTATCGCCTATAAAATTTTTATTATCGCTATTTTCTTGTTCTAATCTTTTACCATGATTCATATTGATGTTGTTATTTCTACTTATAACTTTGTTAATATTGCGATTACTATTCGAACGTGGTGGTGGTACAGGTGGTGAAGGCATATCTGGTGGTATATCAAATATTGAATTTGTCGTTACAATTGCAAATAAATCTTCTTTATTTTCTTCCGTTTCATCTAAATCAACGATACATAAATTGCCCATAGGAACGTCCAATATATTTTGAGCTGAATAATTTTTTAGTGGTGATCGAGCTGTAGCTATATCAGATTGTTCTATTTCATTATGTGTAGCTATTTTATTTGTTTGACTATTTGTATTTAAGAGAGTAGTGGGTGCTCTAATTGCACTACCATAACGTGCTGAGTTTAAACGGCCAGAATCTAAACTGCCACTTGGTTTGAGCTAATTTTGATTATTTTCGTCGAATAATTAATTTAAAAGATTTTCCAATTTTTTTTTCGTTATTTTTATAGGTGAAGCAATTTTTTAATATATTACGATTTTATTAAGTTTTGAAAAATTTAATATTTTAATGAGTGGCGGACACAATTAAACAACCATTATAATGTAAACAAAAAAATAAATTGATTATTTCTTTTTTTTAGAAAAAATGAAAAAAATATTTATTTTAGAAATATAAAACAATAACTTTGAATGGAGTGAAAAAGATGAAGCGTATACAAATATAAAAAAACAAAATTAATAAACAGTACACAAATATTAAAATAACATGTAATAATTAATCAGCGAGCTTGCGAATTTGTGCAACACTAAAAAAATTAGAGCAAATGTTTATGTTTCAAAGAGATGTGAGAAAATTAAACAAAATTGTTAAGGAAATTAATTAGAATTATTGCCGATATGTGTAACCCTCTAGCAAAATGATTTTTTCTGTATCTAGCAATTTATAATTTGAAATAAAAGACAGCATTATATGTTGCAATACACACATCATACGTGTTTACATAACTTAAAGTTCTTACTAATACTAATAAAATATTTCAAATTTAAAAATAAAGTTCTAAACTTTAATATGAACTAAATTATAATTTTACATTTGAATAAAAAAATTTAGCATTTAATTGATTAAGATTTTTAATAGAATTGAATAAATAAACCGAATAATAACAATGTGTCGTTTATATTTTGTAATAACATTACATTGTTTTGTAAATATTATTTATTTAATTTTTTTAAAGATATAACAATATGAAAATCAGATTACTGAGGGAGGGCTACAAATATTTTGTTATCAAAATAAAAACACAACTTAACGTTATCATTTTACATGTACAAATTTAATAATTTGAAAAAGTGATTCAGATGTATTAGTAAAATTAGAATCTCAAATCTCATGTGTTTATTTTTTCTTTTCGTTAACTTGAAACCTCAAACATTAAAAATAAAAAATTATATTAAAAATTTTTTCTTAAAACACTTACACTTCTATCAACAACTGGACTTTTAAATAATGGATGATTTTGGAGTTCTTGTGTCAAGTTCATGTCTGATGAGCATAAGGAACTTGATGGGCTAATTGTTGGACTTAAATTTAAATTATTATTATTTACAATATTGTGATCAGTTGAGTATCCATTTTCTAAATATGAATTAGATGCCGATGTTGTTAAAAAAAGAATTTCATTTGTGCCAATAGGAAGTGTTCCGCCATGATTGTTAATTACATTATAATCGGGAGTAGTTTGTCGTCTTGATATTACTGGTGAATTTGGTGCTGATCTATGATAACCAGATGTGCCACTGTAATTATATCCCAATGAAGTTTGTATATGAAATTGAGATTTTGGTGGTGTAACATCGCGAAATTTTGACTTTAAATCTTTATAAGCAGTTTTAACGCCACGACTCCCCTCTTTTACCTTAAAAAGATATATTAAAAATTTAATTATTATAGGATTTAAAAATTATGTAAAAATTATTTTACATAAATGTCTTTTTTTTAAATTATAGCTAATAGTAGTTTGATTAGTGTTTTGCAATTTGCTTTCTAAATTTGAAAACTAATTGAAAATATTTTACTTCCATGTTAATTTAACTCACCGATTTAACAGCTGATTTTACGGCTGGATTAGTCTGCAATAAAATAAAAAAAGCAACCCAAAATATTATAAGCTTTATCTTGTTATTATTATTCAAATTTATTATAGACTTTGTATTTGTTTTATATTAATTTAAAAAATTACATGTATTTGATGGAGTAAATATTTTTATCTAAGAGATCATTTATATAAAATAAGGAGCAATTCAAAAAAGAGAATTTCATATGTCAAATAAAGCACAATTTTTTTCCTTTAAAATACATAAAACAATTTTCGATTATTTGCGAAAAAAATATTGTTAACGAGAAATTTTATTCTACGTAGTTTTTATTCTCTTATATATTATTATTTACTCCATTTATTGATTTATTTGATTATTTACTTCAATGGTAATTTACATGTAGAAATATAATGAACAAAACATAACAAATACTCAATACTATGTCAATATTACTACATTTATTTACCAAATACTAATTATATAGTTTAAAATTAAAGTAAAATTTATTGTATTGAGAAGTTCAAATTAGTAAAAAATTTTACTTTAAGTAAAAATATTTTACTACTTCTGTAGCAAACGATTCTTTGATTATATTTTTAATAAATCACAATACACATACTTAGTTCTAAGTGTTTCAAATTTTACATTGTTTTAAAAAAAAAAGAATTTTTTTATTTTTGCAAATAACTTATTTGTAGTTGTTAAATAATTTTTTAAACAATTTTCTTTATTTTGCATTTATTAAGTAAATTTCAAAATAATTTGTGTTTTTTATAACAGCGTTAATTTCCAAACTATAAGAAAGGAATTCTAAAATATGAAATCGTATTTTTAGGAGAAGAAATAATTAAAATTAAAGTCATGTTTCACAAGTCCAATAGTAACCGTGAGTATAAAACTAATATACAGTTTAGAAATGGAAAATCACTACATATTTAATCAACACTTTAATATTCAACAGTAAAGTAAAAAAATAAATAACGATGATTTATAGAGTACAATCGAAGTTTGTATTAATGTCTATGGTATGTAATTTATTTGATTAAAGTTTTTTTTATGTTTTTAGTTTGAGTTTTTAGGCCAATTATCTCAGTAGGTTAAATTGTTAAAATCAATTAAGGGGAACTACATAAGTCAATGTCGTTAAATGTTGCTTGTCAAGTTTTACATAACATTTTATTAAACTATTATCTTACTAGATATTTGGAATTGCATTAATTGAGACTTGCAATAATCAAGTTTTAGGTTTACAAAAATATTTGTTAATCATCTTCTTTAAATGCTTATGGCCTTAATGAAAGTGTAAGTTAAGAAATAGAATAAAGTTCTATAACTTTTTTTAAATGTTATTTTTGGCTTAAGTGATAATCTTTTTTAGTAATAAACTTATCGAAATAAAAGCGAAAAAGAAAGTTCTCACAAACACAAAAAGAACATTTTTTGAAGAAGAAAGTAGTTAAAAACAAGTTTGCAGTTCTAGATTGTTTAAGTAAAACCAAACCAAAGCTTTAATTTATATTTAAAATAAAAAAAGGAATTAAGAAAAATGTATATTAACTTAAAATTTGTCTGATGTGGTGACTGAAGACAAACTTCTATCAAATAAAAAAGTTTATTGTTTATTTTTTCAAAATATATGATTTTCTGCTATATCCAAAACCCAGCTGAAAATAGTAATAAAATAAAGATAATAAAAGAAAAATAAATTATAAAGTAAAAACAAAAAAGCTATGCACAAACCTAGTTTTTTATAAAATTTTTTTAGAGCAAAGGACGTACATATACCAACAAATGTGAATTTTATATCAACAATTAAATTAGAACATATTGAAATGCAATTGTATCTATATGTAAAATGTATTCTTATGTTTATTTTGTGAACTCTGGAGATTAAAAGTTTAACACCAATTTTTTTCAAATACTTCAGCAAAAGTGTTAAAATAAACTGAATATTTTAAATTTTTATTATTTAATTGTAGACGAAGAAAATTTAATCTTTCGAAGAAAAATTTCTTTAATATGAATTTGAAACTTCTTCCCCAGTAATCAACATTAACTTTAATTTAAGTGTTGCATTGAAAGCATTTCCTTTTCCAAAATCGGTTTTTCTATGCAATATAGAAAGTCCCTAACAAAATTGGTACACTGGGAATATGCGGTTAAGTAGAATTTAATGATTTTGTCAATTAATTTATCAATTATAATTAAAAAAATCCCGTAAATTCGACGGAAACTGAATAGATATTTTGCAAAATTAGTTTTATTTTATTTATTTTTTTACGCAAACATCAAAAAAAGGAACTATTTTGTCATAAGATCAAAATAATTTATTTTACTGAAATATTAGAATTAAATTTTAAACTTTTGATCTGACCAAGTTGTTTTCCAACATTTAGCAGTGATATAAAATCAAGGAATACACATTTTGCATCCTTTAATCAAAAAACAAACACTTATTGTGCGAACAACATATTATTTTAAATTACATATTATCTAGCCCCCAAAAAAGTAAAAAAGCACTAAAATATACGGAAAATTTCGTTAATTTTCAAATAATGAGGACAACAAATTAAAGTTTTAAGTACTTATCTTACCATCTCAGTGGTCCGATAACGTTGATTTTTCCGTATTTTTCGAAACAGTAACTTCAGATTTAAAAGAAAAAATGTTTTAAAAGTAACTTAATATCATATTATACTTTAATAATTTAATATACATGTTAATTAGAAAAAAGCTAGTAGATATTTAATTTGAACACGTTTCCGATCGAAACAGTCTATTTACATCGGTGAAAAGAAAAACCGAATATTAAACATAATTTTATGTAAGGGTAGCTATTTTTGTCTAAGTTTAAATACATTTTATATGCACTTCCCTTATATTTTGTTTTTTTTTTTCAATACAAGTTAAATAAATATTGTTACAATTTTAAATATAATTAATTGAGAAAATTATATATTATTATTAAAATTGAGATATTATATATTTAATATCATCAAAATGAAATCAGTGCTTACTTTATCTTTAACATTTCTTAAAAATTCCTTGTAATTACGACCACGTTTATTCATTTTTTCAGCTTGCTTTAATGTTTCTAGTTCAAATTCATCAGATAATCCTAAGCCGCTACTTAACATTTGTATCCTATCTTCAATAAATTGTTGAAATATTTGTAATTCCATCATACGTGCTAAAAATGATCTTAAATGTGGTGGTCTAGATTCAATAAATGCCTTTTGATCCCACTGAATTTTTTGACCATACGGAAACCGAACTGCATCACGGTAACCACCAATTAGTTGCACTAGTGCGATTAAAAATATTCTAGACACACGATCACCAATGTGATCGTGTGGATTAGATAGGGATTTTTTCATTTGATGTACTAAATCCGGTGGCATTTCTTGTACATCATCGAATGGACTTTCAAAAAGCTTCTTATCACAGTTTAAAATGACAACTTCACCTAATTCTTCTGGTGTCATCTAAAACATATAAGAAAATGATAAAATTATGTTAAGAATTATTATTTTTTACTGTAACAACTGCAATTTTGTATATAGATTATGTAAATTTTTTGAATACCGTTTCCAAAACAGCTTCAGGTACTCCAATCAAATAAGGCATTGGTGCACTCAATATATCTTTAAGTTTCATAGGAAGAACGGGTATAAAAATATGTTGCCATACCATAGGATATAAAAATGCATTAGCTGCTTGAATGCATGACGATAACTTATCGAGACGACGTGATGTAAATATAATACGACGTTCTGATAACATCGCAGCAAATACTGATATCATATTCTTTGGATCCACAAAATTATAATATAAATTCAAGTTGTGCTAAAATTAAAGAAAAATAAAAATTACTTAAAAGAATAAATTTTATTATTCTTCAAATTAACATTAATATTATTAATGTTAAAAAGATTAAAAATTAATATTATAATTAAATTTTTGAAAGTAATTATTAAAAAGTTTATGTTTAATGTCGAAATTTATTGTAAAGAAATTGACTTTTAAACATTTTAAATGTTTAAATTATTTATCAATAATTTGAAGTAAAATTTTCACATAAATTTTGCTAAATTACAAAACTTTACAAAACTTGAAATGCATCTACACAAGTACGGACATTTATACTATCTTTTTCTCCATTCAAATAGGTATGTTCTGCGTACATTCATATTATACTCATTAAATTATTTTTATTTAGAAATTTATTCATTTTTAGAGACAGAGATTAAATTTTGATTAAATGATTAACAAGAATGATATAATAAATGAGCTCTTTAAAAAAATAATTTAGCCAAAAGCTTTCGTTTAAAGTATGTATGTATTTATCCTTCTTACATACAAATAACTTTAGAAACTCATAAATTTTATAATTTTTTGTATTGCATATTTATATACATGTGCATGTAATATAAATTAAATACTGTTACAAAAAATATTCATGCATTTAATCGGAAATCTGTTTTTCAATAACAGGCACATGAAGAAAAAAATATTATGTATGTGTTTAATACTTTTCTAAAATGTAATAAAAATTTAAGCTTAATTTTTTTTTTAGTGAAAATGAAAATAATGTGTTACTTTGTAAATTAAAATGTTCAGAATAAATAACAAAAAGAATAAATATTATCAAACAATAAGTATTGTATACTAGTTAAGAGTTTTTGTATTCACTTAGTTACTTACATTTTCTGGTATGCTAGGAAGTTGAAATTGTGAAGGCCGTTGAAATATGAAGTGCTGTGAATTTTATGATATTTGTATATTAAAATTGTAGTAAAATTATTTTTTAAAAGTCTAAGTTTTAAATATAACGTATTTTTACATTTTCTCCAGCATTGAAAAACAATTTAAGGCTTGCTCCAGGTTCTGGAACTCCTTTGCTATATGCTTCAGATAAGAATAATTCAAATTCGCCATTGTTTTTGCGTCGCAATTCACCTAATACACCTAACAGTCTTAAAAATGTGTCATGCCATGGTAAATATGTTATTATAACCATAGCTGTTTGAGTTTTAGGATCATGGCGACAAAAACCAAAGCGCCATTTGGAATCATCACTTGTTAAAACGAATGAATATGTTTGAACAGACTCACTGAAAGAGTAACAAATAAGTAAATTAATGTATTATCACATTAAAAATTTTATATGTTATATCATATTGAAACCTCTATTCTAATGTTAAAAATTAAAAATTGTCATTGTAAAATCTTTGAAATATGCATACTTTGAACAAATACATAATATTTTATTCAACTATCTATTAAGTTTGAAATTTTCTGACTTAACGAGTTCATATTTTTGTACTTTGTAATGGAAAAACAAAGCGTTTTGCTAATTTAGGAAACAAAACTAAAATTGTTAAAAATTATAAATGATCTGTGATATAAGCTATATAAAAGTTATTCTTTTATATCGTAGAAAAAATTACTTTTAAATACGTAAAATATCTTATTAAATGTGGAATCAATTGAAAACGGTTAATCAGCCATGCGTTGCTTCCTGAATAGTTAGCCTGTTTAGAAGGGTACCTTGTACTGTCCTGTACCAAAGTGGAATTAAAACTCTTAGGGTGTGCTTCGTTGGAATTTTTTAAGTAAAACAAGTAAAAACGTTTCATTTGGTATAAACTGATTGATTTATACCCCGCACCTGGACAATCTTGTTTTCAATCAGTACAAAATCGTGTTTTTAAAATGTTTAGAACTAACTTTCATAGTTGTATGACAGCTACTAGAACTTATCAATTCCCACAAAAACTTCACGGATATGTCTGAGCCTTAATTGGATTCATGACTGCCCAGTCTTATGAATTTAATGTTATTATTCTTCCGAATATTTAAAATAAGCCTTTGAAGGCGTATAGCAGCTACCCGAAACTGTCAAGCCATTCCAAAAAACTTCACGATTATCTGTCCTTTATCTGAGTTTTATCTGAGTTTTATACTTTATGATATACAAGTTTCTCTGTCAGCTACCCTAATAAGTGCAGTCATAGAGCATATATTTTAGCTATAATTAGAGCATATGTAGAATGTAATTGAACACAGGTATACAAAATTTCATATTTATACCTTTATTAGTTTTTAACTTGCGAAAGATTGGTGGTACTTGTTTTATTCGCTTTTGATTTATCCTGCGGTCGAACAGACTGACATGCCTTCCAGATAAATCAATCCAGAATTTTACTTTGAAGAAGAATATATATACAAGCCCCTACCGTAAAAGTTCCCTTCAAATGTTTATAAAATCCGTACTGAAGTTAATGTCTTTCACGAAGTGTATAAAAAAAAATCACGTGGGGAAAGGGAACGGACGTCTACCGGTAGTTTTGCAGGGTTAACAAGTTGATAATTTCTAGAAACAATTAAAAACTTGTTTTAAAATTATTTTTTTGCTTTTGAAAAGGATGTTGCTGCAAAAAAATTGCTTATAATTTAGAAATAAAAACATTTACAAATACATATGTACATATAATATGTGTGTATACATATGTACATATATTTGGATTTTAAATTAGATTGACAATAAAAAAGCAATCACAAACTTTTATTATTAAAAATGTTATTATTTTTAGCATAAATTTAATGTGTTCCAATCTAATTTAATTGAAATAACATTCCTAAAACTAAACATCTAAATAAAAAATTAAACATTTTTTTTTTCAATTAGAAACACCGAAGTACTACTTATTTTGGATTTGCTTGCATGATCTTTTCGTATGCACATACATATGTACATATAAATGTGGTAGTCGTATGACAAGTTGGCATAGTGTTTAATTCTATAAAATTTCAATTTATTGGAGTTTAATTACATTATTTTGAAAATTTTGAAAAAATAAGATACTAAATAACAAAAAATTCAGTACTTATACTTGAATTAGAAACAGAAATCTTCATTAAAACTATATGCAAATAATATGTTAATCTTTATTTTTTCATCTTAAATAGGGAAGAAATTACAATGCTTACAACTTTTGAAGGTACTACCTGCATCATTCTAGGTCAGCAATTGCATTTGTACATAAGTACACATTATTGAATATTTTTTTTAAGTTTTTTATTTTCATTTCAAATTATGTAGAAGAAAAATAAAATATAAAATTCTAAAAATAGAAAATGAAAATATTTTAAATTTGATATCAGATTTTTAAATAGATAGTAAGTACTGATTGTATGCTTTTTTGTGATAAATATTATTTTAACATAAATGTGTGAAACATGTACATACATACATGCAAGATACCAAAATTTTTTTTTTAATTGATAAGCAAAGCGTTGCTCTTTTGTTGGCATAAAATCAGTATAGCTATGTATTAATTTTTTAATTCTTTTTATTTTTTATTTAGGAATCAAACCGTTTTTACAATGGTATGAGAACTTTTTTTTTCTCAAGTTTTTAGCGATAAAGCTTGACAAGAAGACCAAAAAGATCTTCAATCTTCATAAAACATAAATTTAAAAAACTTTTACTTCAATACTTTGTTAAAATTTTTGAAATTAAATTTTTATAACATACTCACAACTATCTACTTAAAATTCATCAGATAATTGATTCATCATCATATTGATTTTTTAAATGAAAGTAAAAGAATGTTTTTTAGATACTTTTGGACTCTAAATGAGACAATAAAATTAAGTTTGTATTTAATTGTAACTAAAATTTCTAATACAAATGAGTATGTATTGATAATGGTTGTAACATGCGATTTGGATAGGCAATCAATAATTTGTAAATAAAAAGTAAATATTTTTTTTATTTTGAAAATAGTTATGTAATTAAAAATTATTGACAGTAGACAAAAAACAGAATCAAATGAGTATGGGAATAAATGGTGCAATTCGATGGGATTAAATATACATACTAATATACTCTCTAAGATAAAAAGAAAAATTTACCTTCAGTTGCTTACAGTCTTTCATTATCTCAACGCAATTTTAAATTACATAAAATTTTAAATAATGCTTTATGTAGAATTTACTTAAGGCAATGATATTTGTCATAAGAATACAAAAAACACTCACATTATAACAGAAATTCTTATTCTAAATGTTTAATTTTTGAAAAAAAAAAAAAAATAATAATAATAATAACAAAGAGTTCAATGATTTTAGATAAAAAATATTGACTTCGTATGCGTTTCAATTTATAACCTATTAAAAATAAGTTAAATAGGTATGCAAGAACTTAAGCATTCGTTCTTTCTAAATCCATCTTTCTAAGAAAATATCCGCAAATTATTTCCAAATTATTGAACTGGAATACAAAAGTATCCTACATTACGCATATACACAGATGAACGAGTACTTTTAATTAAAAAACGAAATTGTTTCAATAAAACTTTTTTTCTAATAAAAATATACTTTTTGATATTAAGCTTAAAAAAATTTATATTACTTACTTAAATTTAAAAATATTTAAAAAAAGTAATTTTGCGTCATACATACATACACATAAATACATGTATCAATATAGTTAAAATACATATATATTTCAATATAAATTAGATGTTGTTCAGAGTTTCTTTTTGCTTATGCAACAATAGCCGTAAAAAACAATCAGAAAAAGTGATGAAAAAACGATGATTCATAACCGTCCATTCACTAGATTTTCTAAATTATTTTGTTTTTATTTGACACTATCTAAAATTTCTGATTTGCCTTTTCTATTAAATATCATTTCATTGCGTTCTTATATTAGTTGTTATACTATATCATAAGTAGGTAGCAATATACATAAATAAATTTTAAAAACTATTCAAATAACGGATTCAGGAACTACATTTATGTAAAATGTTTTTAATCTTATATGATTTGGAATATTTCACTTGATTTAAAAATCGGAAAATAAAATTAATGTAAACAATACACTATAACGCAAACGCAATTATGTAAGAGGGGACTTTATTTATTAATTATCTACTAAATACATGTATGTACATATGTATATTTCAGTAATGGATGTGTCATGCATATGATATATATGTATATTACCTTATATTTATCCTATCTAAATACGAGTATATACTTGAATAAGTGGAATAAGTACATATGTGCTATTGATGAAATATCAGATAATGTACTGAGGTTTCTCCATCCTCCCCACAAAATCTGCAGGGATCTTCACTTTTTAGACCCAATTTAAAGTATAAAATGTCACGCCTTTGTCTGGCGCAATACATAAGCGCAAATTTAAAAATCTTATTTATTTTTATGTGATAACTTGTTCACTATTAATAAGCAATGATCCCATGTAGCTACTCTAGGGAGCATCAGAGTCAGTCTGATAACCATCTTCCCTGTTATTTGAAAAGATTGTTGTAGCCTACAGATGTTAAACTTGATTTCTTTTTTAAAAAACCATGCTGAAACTTGCTGACAAAAGGAATGTAGTGATAATATATGTTATCATATATCATCAAATGAAAGACCTTAGGAGTGGTCGAAATTTTGGCAATGGAACGGTAATTCACTATATCATTTTTACCATTCCTCTTATGAGGTTTGGTAAAAGTTTCTTTCCAAACGGAAAAGAAAATACTACCACAAAAGTAAGTATTATAAAAAATGAAATCTAAAGGGGGTCAATCCTGCCCTGCAGAAAAGCTAAAGTTTAAATCTATAGTGTCATTAGAGACTTTTAGAAGAACTTTAGTTAAGTTCATAACTATTTTATTTATTTTAGTTTTTTTATTATGGTTTATTTCACCTTATTTTAATTAATCGAACACCTTTATATATAACTTTATTTAGAACAATTTAAGGTATAAGTGTTATGTAGGTAAACTACACATAATGGTTTATTCAACCCATACATTACAACGGAATATACCTATTTGGACTTTAGTTTTTTGTTGTTTTTAAAGTTTAAAAAAAGTTTGAATTTCTATTTACTACTCTATTGTTCCATTTCTTTAAAGAAAAAACTGTGAATATAAGAAATATACGTATATATGCACATATATTTTATTTATGAACAATGGATGTAGAGAATTTGAAACAAAATTCGCCAATACGTATGTATATATACATAGATAGGTAGGTATATTTACAATTTATTTTATTGTACACCCACAAGAAATTAATTTGTAATTGAATAAAACTTTATATAACATTTATTATGCAATTAATAGAAATCATTGAAATTAATGAAAATTTCTATTGGGTAAATTAGTCTTAATTTTTAATAAAACTTCTGAAGATTTAGATACTTACTTTTCAAATTCGCATGGATATGCGAACTCTGGAATTTTTCCAATGATTTGTTCATCTTTAAAACCTTCTGGAAAGCTTTCTATAATGTGCCCAGCTTGCTTTAACACATTTCCACTTTCTGCTTTTGTGACCTCGCACCAAAACTCAAAAAGTTTTTGTACATCCTCTCTATTTTATTGTATAATTTTTTTTTAACCCAGAGCAAATATGCATGCAAAACATACCAGGTAAAACCAAATGTATATCCCCCCAAAAACACATTTGTTTTTGGTTTTTTTTTTGTTTTTTATTTAATCAATGCATAATTCGTCATCAAAATTTTTTTAATAGGATTCGAAATACAAATAGTAGTATTCAATATAAATGAGAAAATATAAAAAAAGAATATATTATTTTCAATGTAGAATATATAAAATTTGGAAGATAAAATGCAATCAGATGGGGTATATTATTCCCATTTTTAAATTCTTACTTCACTCGCGAACTCATTACGTAGATATCGCTTCAATTTTTCTGTATTTACTTGATTTGCATAGTTATTTAAATAAATTATTTATAAAATAATGCCAAAATTTATGTTATTCTAATATTTTAAATTTTAATCTTTTAAATCTAAAAGACAACGCACTTTTTTGTAAATTAAATGAAAAATTTTTATAGCCACACTCGTACCTACAATACAATTTATAGGGCTGTGAAATATGAATGACAAAGATAAACTACACAAATCATCAGTACAACGTAAATGTCAAAAACAACAAAAAAATATTTAATTATGTAAAAATTAGTACTTGAGCTAGCACTGCACGTTACAGAGACAATGTCAAAAATATAATCCAGTTAAATTTTAATTTTTGACAATCAGCTGCTAACGCTTTCATTCTTTTATAGCGCTGTACACTCATCTCTAGCTTTACGGAACTAATATGTTCCGGAAATGTTGTCCGTAAATCGAATCTTTTAATTTACATTACGTTACAGCCACATTTTTACCCAAACTTATATAGGTACATATATTTCTTGTTAATTAGCAAAAAATATAGTAGGACTTTATTATTATTACAACATTAGACAGCAAGAATCATTTTTTCGTAATTTTTTTTTTTCCTTAAGAAGAGACTTTGGTTTAATTTTTGAGTTCCGCAAAACCGAAATTCTGCATATCGAGCTTCCGTTAAGCGAGGGATAAGTGACACATTTCGTAGAAATTTCATTCAAAATATTTGTTATAATTAATACCACTTGTTTCTTCAACCTGTTTCGTGAATTCAGATAGTGCTAAAATTAAATTGTACTATCCGAAGTAAAATAGTTGTTCTCTATGAGAGAAGACACTAGGTCTGTCTTTTTTTTTATTTTTAATTGAAAAGTTAAAAAAAAAAAATATTCTTGATGAAAAAGTTGTTCTCGAAAAAACATATGTTACAAAGGAAAACATATGTTGTAACAGAAAAATTTTTTCAAGTTTTCTAAAGCAGACCAGAACACGAATCAAAGTTTCGTAAAGAGAAATATTATTAGACCAAATATCATTAGTATTCAAAATCATCAAATTCATTTTAAGCTTTTAATATAAAGAAAAACACAAAAAATATATATATATATATGTATATATATACAAATATGATTGAATTAACAAATCGATTTTTATAATTTCGACTTTGTTTCAAAGATTTCAGAATCGATTGGTACTTGGTTGCCCTCCTGACACAATGCTGTCAATGTTTACTGGTTGAATGATTGTTAATTGCTGATTCTGATAAGAAAATAAAATTCTATTATATTGAACATTTCTTTAGGAGCAAGGGACCAAAAGATCAAGAATTTTTGATTGAATTATATAATATTGCTTATTAAATCGTTAAAATTATAACAAATACCAAAAAGAAAATTTATTTGAACAAATTTATTTACAATTAAATAAATCTTTTATAATTAACAAAAAATTATGTTTGGCAAAATCTTTGTCGATCCTATAGTATGAAATATAGAGACCTAAGTATAATTTTTTAATGCTTTATAAAAGGGAACAGGATAAAAGAAATAGAACATGTTTCGTATACGAAAAAATTTTTTACCACGGAAAATATCGGATATATCCGCTTTCTTTTTATTGATATCGGCTATGCCAGGTTGGTAATCAATTTGGCAATGAAAATTTTTAAAATATAAGTTTTGAATTTTCCTAGCTACCTATATGTTTGAAATTTTTATTGTGTTTCCTACTTTATATGGATCATGGACATTTCAACATTGGTTTCATGTTATTTTCGGTACTTTTCTTATGTTCCAAGTAACTTCTAACTTAATAGCTTTAGTAATGGTGGACACAAGTATTAAAAGTAATTTTTATGCTAAATTAATTTAAACTTCATATACATACATATTTTCTACTTTTAGATGAAATTCTTAAGATGCCAGATAATAAAGAGAAAGCTAAATCCTGGCATTTTTGTGCATGTTGTATGTTACCTTTTAAAGTAGCCGTATTTTTTGTTATATAATTTTTATATTTTAGGTGAATCTGCAGTTCCACCTAGGTCATGGCACTGCCAGATTTGCAGAACATGTATTCTGGTAGGTACCCACCTACTACCAATTTTCGAAGAAATTTATTTTTTTAAATTTTTAGAAGAGAGACCATCATTGTATATTTGCTGGATGTTGCGTTGGGCACAAAAATCATCGTTTCTTCTGTGTTTTTGTTATTTATATGTTCGTCAGCACATTTTACACAACCTTGCATAACATCATTTATTTCTACTCACAAGTAGAGTTTCATAAATTAGTGACACTAATCAAAATGATATGTCCATTGTTAATGTTTATTCTAGATAATTCACTTATTAATATTTATATATTTTTGTTTGATATTAATGTTTTTTGTTTGTTCTTTTCTTTAATAATGATCTTATATCATTCAAAAATAATTCTTAGTGGAAGAGTAAGTCATGAATACGAAAAGCAAAAATCAAATAGTACAAAGTATGATTTAGGATGGAAAAAAAATTTATTAGTTGTTTTTGGCAAGAGATGGTATTTAGTTTTTGTGTCACCTTTTTGTCACAGCGAATTATTAATGAATGGCATTAATTGGGAATTATTTGAAGAAAATTCTTTTAAAAATAAGTAGTTTATACTATAACTTTTATGAAGTTTTACAGTACTTAAATTAAATTTTGTTTGTTGTTTGCTTATATGTATAAATAAAAACGTTTTTTTTAGTTATCCGAATTTCATTTATGTTTTCTTGTACGATAGTCATGAATCTTCTTATTCAATAAATAGATGTATGTATTTATATAGTTCTTATAATAAGAAGAATAAATTTTATGAATGTCATTTATGTAAATTCTATTAAAGAATGTTGGTTGCATAGTAATAATTACAATTATGAAAATAGATTTATTTGATGAATTACTGCTTTTAAACTTCCTAAACTTAGGCATTTCTAATTCCCAAAGCTTGCTCTAACTCTGCACGTTTTTGATTGACTTTTGTGAAGAAATAACGCGAAACGGCTTCTTGAGTCCAAGGTTGGTAGTAAAATTCAGCACGCCTTTCTTCTTCTGGATTTCCAACTACGTCAGTCATCGTCTAATTAAATCGCAAGCAAAGTTTTTATTTTTTATGAATAAGAATGCCTAAAATCAGTTTTAAAAATAAAAATTACCTTTAGATCTCGAGTTTGACTAACAATCCACCTATGAATAAACTTCTGTGGATCTTTCGCAAAACTTAAGAAAAACTCTCGATTTGTTTTTAACTGGTTAATAGTTTCAACAGTTTCATGAATTTTACCATCAAGTCCCTGGATTTCTTGCTGACTTGCTGTACTCATCAAAAAATTATTCATTTGATTTTTCAGTGTATCATCCACTTCCACATCAATATCATAGCATGCCGTTTGTTTATTATTTTCTGTCCCACTTTCAATAAAATGGTTAATAACAATAGGGTCTGGCGGATGAAGCAATGGATTTAATCTTTGTGGAATCTCTGCAAATTTCATTTTCGCGCAACCAAATATTTGCTCCAAATATTTATCGCAATTTATATATTCTCTTTCATGTGCATCTTGCAATTTGTGTGTTTTAATATATTGCCAAAGTGCCGAAATAATAACAGGACGTGTTTGAGTATGAACACCTAAAAGACGTGCGAGCCTTGGATCGAGTTTAAATTGTAGTGGTTGATAATCGAGTAGTAATAAAATTGTACAACGTACATTTCGGTCTCCTGGACGTTTAACTTGAAAGCCATCAGTTTCTTGTGTTGTATGGGTTCTGTGCCATTCTACCAAGTGATTGTCTGGCCCATACAATTCCTTATCCAATTCAATTACCAACGATTTAAAAAAACTTGAAAATTTTCTTTTGATTTTGTTTGGGTCCCCTTTGTTGTCTTCTAACAAACGTCCTTCGACTCTCAATTCCCACGAAGCAACTGCTCCATCACTACTTTCATTATCTCCATCTTTCCCGGGATAAAATGTATTTGAAATAAATATTCTCAACTTACGCTTCTGTTTCATAGGTCTTTTCAATGCTTCTTGAATATCTAGACGTTTCCGCATAATTGTAGCATCCAGTTTACGTTCGAATGTTAAGAGATCCATATATGCTTGAGATTCAGGCACTAGATCTCTTACCTTTTGAGGTAAGATTTTATCAGCCAACTTTTTCTTCTTTTTTGGTAGATTTTGCTCAGTAGATTTTCCTTGAATATTCCGAGACTCCTGTTGCGATCTTTTGCCCCCAGGACCAGAACCACTTCCTCTCAAACCAGCTTGAAATGTCTGACCTGCAGGTCGAGGGGGGTGTAATTGAGGTCCCACACTTGGAGAAGAAGGCGCATTCCCTGGCGGCGGTTGAGAAAAATTTCTTTGCTGAAAATTGATTGATGAAATTTAAGCTCATTTTTTAATTTTTAATTTATAAAACTTAATCATACACCAAAATTGCTTGGAGAATATGGCCGCATAGTCGGCGCATTTGGTGGTGGAGGCTGGTATCTCTGTGACATTTTTACATAAGATATTCACCACTGATATTGTTAATTTGTTAAAATACTTATGATTTATTTAAATGGTATACTAAAAAAAAAAACTATACGAATATAAATAAAAACTACATTCGACTAAAACCAAACGATTTTACATTTGTACACAAAAATGCTTATGAGTAAATTCCAAATGAAATTGACACAAAGAATTGACAATTTGAGTTTTAGCTGTCAGTTTTAGGTGTAATTTTCTAAGTACTGTGAATTTTATTCACAATAAAGAAACTTATTTTCGAAAAATCTCTTCTTGCAAACTTTATGATGAACTATGACTGACAGAAATACAAACTTGTTCAAAAGCTAAACAGAGTTATTTACAATTCAAATGAATCGTCTGGTTTGATATTGTGCTTTATTTTTCGTATAATATTTTGAAAGGAAAATATTTTGTTCCCACATTTTGTGTGTGTGTACCTATATTAGTCGTCATCAAGTTATCTTGAATCGTGTAAACATATGGTTTAAATTCACCCATTACCGTGAATGGATTATTAAATGTCATTTTATTGCAACGTATATAATAAAGAATAAAGAAAGATGAAGAGTTTGATTTTAGGTTTGGCTTTTTTTCTCACTGTTCACTAGATTAAAAATTAAAGGAAAGAAGAGTGCAGAAGGAAGGCTATCGACCGGTTCATTAATTTTGTTCTTTTATAAATTATCTGTCCAATAGAAGTTGACGACGTTATTTGATCGACAGACACAGAAGTATTATTTAACGGAGTGAAAAATTCTACGCTAGTAAATATGAAGCATTTAGCAACATTTTTAATTTTTACCCTGATTGGAGTAACATTAAGTTCAGATGCTAAAGGTCCCAAAGTAACTGATAAGGTAAATAAAAATTTAAATACGTATATTTTTACTTGTCTGTACGTTCTTTGTCATACAAGCCAAGGTAAAGCAACGCTATAATACATCTACACCATAGATTTGAAGCGATGATTTGTTCATTTAAAAATACTTTGCTTTGTTCTAAGAACTAATAACTTTTGCTTTGTTCTAAGTTTTGTTTTAGATTTTAGTTAAAGAACAAACTAAAAAAAGACCGTGAGTGTGTAATACTCAATTTTTCTTTATTGATATATATGTATAAGAACTTATTAATTCACAAATGGAATAAAACACGGCTTATATGTACACATACATTACGCATCACATAATCTGAACCGAATTAACAAATACACTTTTTATTTCTAAATTAATAGCTTCCTGTTAAATTAATTTCAATAAAATTTTATTAGGTTTATTTTGATATTACAATTGGGGGTGAACCAGCTGGGCGTATTACAATAGGATTATTTGGCGCTACTGTTCCAAAAACAACTAAAAATTTTAAAGAATTAGCTGAAAAACCGGAGGGTGAAGGTTTTAAAGGCAGCAAGTTTCATCGTGTTATCAAAGATTTTATGATTCAAGGTGGTGACTTTACTAAAGGTAAAAAAAATTCAATTTTTCAATGGGAGTAATAGATTTTATTAGCAAATTATATTAGGTGATGGAACCGGCGGCCGTAGCATTTATGGCGAACGTTTTGCAGATGAAAATTTCAAACTTAAACATTACGGATCTGGTTGGTTAAGCATGGCTAATGCTGGAAAAGACACAAATGGTTCTCAATTTTTCATTACAACTAAACAAACTAGCTGGTTAGATGGAAGACATGTTGTGTTTGGTAAAGTGTTATCTGGTATGAAAGTTGTGCGGCAAATAGAGGGTACACAAACTGACTCACGAGATAGACCTGTAAAGGACGTTGTTATATCTGACTCAGGTTCAATTGAAGTAACAGAGCCATTCTCGGTATCGAAAAGTAGTGCTGAGGAATAAGAAATCAATTTAGAAAATTATTTACGCAATACATACAATAAAAGCAATAAGCTAAATTTCAATGGTATTCGATTAAGATAAATACTTTTTTTACTTTAGTTTAAATAATTATCTATTATTGTGCTAATTCATTTGCATTTATAAGAGAAGTTTTAAGACAAATAAAAGGAACGTATACAAAAAAATGAATTTCTTTATCACTCTGACTACACAGTTGAAATTAGCAATTAGCATTATGATTATAATGTATGTTAAATGCAAATAACTTTTTGATTCTTACGTACAAAAAATTTATTAGCGTTAAATATTTGCTGTAGTTTCATTTTTAAGATTTTTTACTAAAAGTTCCACAAAAATTGCGACCACTTAAGAATACACTATGATTTTTTAACGATCGATTATGCTAAATCTGCTGTACTCTTATCACAGAATAATAAAAAACACATGGTATGTACTTGTAAGTAAATACGATTGCAAAATAATCTACCACAAATGAGATAAATAAATTTAATTAAATTAAATGTGTTAATGGTAAAATTTTGCTTGGTGTCGTCTACAATATAAATCTTTGTATATATTGCTCAATATAACAAAAATTATATTTTTGTATTCCCAAGATAAACATTGATGGGAAATTAGATCAGCCACGTCATATTAGATTTTAATCTTTTGCTAAAACATTGTGATTCATTAGATTATTCAAAAGAGAAGACACTGGTGCACTTTCTGTGAGTGTCAAGTGTTGACGGAGGAATAACTGTTTGGTTGCGCTCTCACTGTTATACATGATATGTCATTCATTAAAAGCGTGGGTTTCGAGAAAGTGCTATAGCAAGGATACTGAAATAAAAATTAATATGTGTATGTACATATAAGAAAATATGCATATGTACATATATATGTGAATGCATTTGTATTTTCAACATTATTTTTCAATTTAAAAGAAAATAAATGTTAATTTGGAAAATACATTGCACACATACTGTATATGAACCATTGTAACTTGTTTATTTCGACAACAAATATTTTTAAACCCTGTTTATAGTGTAACGTGGTCAATAATCCTATTAAAATATTAGTTGTTATTCTTCACTAAATATTGAATTATGTGTACCTATATGTATGTATACCAGAAGAAAACAAAACGAAAAAAAAATAGAGAAATTGTCTTATAAAATACGTGTATTTATACTCGTATGTATGTATGGGCTAATGCTCTAATTCTTATGATGGAGCATTGACTGATTGTTGAGTTCTGATACAAAAACGAAACTTTGGTGCATGTATATAAGTATATATAAATGAGTAAATCAGGTGTGACCAGCGTAATACCTATGCACATATTTCAACATGATCAAAAACAAAACCACTGAAGTCTACCTAAATTTATTTTGTAATTTCTAATTTATTTTTTCATGATCACAAAATTGTTTTTCAGTAAGAAATTATATTTACAAAATAATGAAGATTAAATAATTTACATTATGTAGCTGAAAATACAATATCTGATATATCCAAACTTTTAGAGTCAATTTACTTTTGATCTATTTCTAAGATGAATAAAGTGACTCGAAGATATTTACGCAAATCAATAAACAAAATTTTGTTTAGGTAGATCTCATTTAATTTCATTCGCTCTATAAAAATAACTCATCTTGAATCGGGTCACCAAAAAAAACTGTCAACTACCTCTGATTTGGACTATTTTCTACACACACCATAATTTCTGGTTTAACCTTATGAAGGTGATTGGACTTAAGCTGGGGATATAGAAACATGAGTATATACATATGTACATTTGTATGTGTATATATGATGTAAGTTTTATTTTTCGATTGGCATGTTGTATATACATACATACATATATGTACAGGTTTATACGAAAAAATCTATGCTCAAAATATTATCATTTAATATTGTACGTTATTGAGCGTGATCTTATTCACATATTATTATTATATTATCTATATGATGGATATTGTACGTATTTATGATTTTTCGAATTAAGAGTTACAGCTTTTGTCAACTCGTTGATATCCATGGAGTTTGAAAAAATTTATTTCAGTTCTATTGACCTTTCAACTCTAATTTTGAAATTTTAGGTAGGTAGGTAACTACCTAAGTATAACCAAATTTTCCACGTCAGTTGACATCAACGAATTGATTATTCTGTACATTATCTAAATGAAATATGTGAGGAAATATGTACATAAATTTAGTATCGAGTAAAGTAACGAATAAAATTTCTGAATTATTTCTATAATAGAAAGTAGAAACTTTTAAAATTTCAACACAAGCATATTTATTGGAAGTTGTTTAACATAATAATGATAACTTTTCTGAATCGATAAGAGTAATATGATAACAACTTACAAATTTGTAAAAAAATTAATTATTTTCGTTCAAGTTCAAAAACGTTCCTAAGTTCTAAATTTTATTTTTGAAAATATAGGTATAAAAATGAAAATATTTACATACATATGTACATATATATAAGTATACATATTTTTGCTGCGTTACTAGTATAATTGATTACTTTGGTTGTATAGTTTTTTTTAGTCAGACAGTCATTCAACTTGGCTCTAGTATACAACTTGATCAAAGTAAAGTTAAGTGTTTTTTTTAAATATCTATAAAAATATTTAAAGCTGTCCCAATTTCTTTTACAAAAAGGCATAACATTTGTTTCGACAAAACAAAATTCATATTATTATAGAAGTATTATTCTATCTGATATTTTGAAATCAGAAGCATTTTAAATTCTTTCAAAAGCTTTTCAAAAGGAATTACATATGATATTACTAATTTTTTTACATATTGAGCCTTATTCTAGTTGTCGCGTCACTTACGTGACATTTGTCGTTGTCGTTGTCACATCATTTGAAATGTGGTATTCTAGTTGTCGAGTGACGTGACTGCGAGAAATAAACGAAAATGAAACGTTTAAGTGAAATTGATACATTTTAAAAATAAATTTTGGCGAGTAAAGTTTAAAGTAAAAAAAAAAATTCGGTGTATATATTTATTTTTTTAAATACGAGGAAAATAAAAAATGTCGTCATTTGCATTATGGTTTACGGATTCATCAGACTCCGAGAGTGATGGAATTGAAAAAAAAACAACAATTAAGGATCAAAAGATTTAAGATTAGGGACAACTCTAATCCATTGGATTTGCCAAATGAAGTGCAAGATAATAATTTTTTCAAATACATTAGTTACAAACATTTTATTTTATTCACAGATTTATAAGCTATTACAGACTTTCAAAGGAGGCCTTTCGATATTTACTAAATATATTCGAGGGAAAAACAAGTACCCCTAAAAGGTGTTTTGGAGTCTCACCTATAATTAAATTAGGAGCTGTTTTGTTTTACGCTTCCTGTCTGGGGCAGCTATCAAAAAGGTGTTGCTAACGATTTATATACAGGTTTAGCGCAGCCAACGTTCTCTAAAATATTAAAAGAAGTTTAACAACTTTAGAAGCTGAAATTTGCAGCAGTTTGATAAAGTTTCCAGAAGAGAATGAAAGAAATGAGATTAAATTAGCACTCTATGAAAAATTTGGGTTTCCTGGAGTGATAGGCTGTGTAGACGGAACACACGTTAGAATTATAACTCCGTCAAAAAATCATCAGCATTTATATTATAACCGGAAGGGTTATCATAGCTTAAACGTTATGTTGGTATGTATAACATTGCTGGTTAAATATTTGTAAATATTTTAATATGTTGGGTATGTTGATGCTAATAATCCGGGATCATCTCATGATTCCTTTATTTGGAATTACAGCAGGTTAAATTCAATGCTTTCAAGAGAAAATATCAACGGTACACGAAATACCTGGATTTTAGGTAAAAGTTTGATTTTTTTTTACTTTTATGTTAATTTCATAAACAAAAATTGTTTTTTAGGGGACGCAGGGTACCCACTTAAACCATACTGGATCACGCCGTTCAGAACATATGTAAATAGAGGTGACAGCAGTCAAAAAGGAAGATTTAATGAGCTTCATTCCAAGGTACGAAATATAATTGAGAGAACTAATGGAGTTCGTGTCACTGTAATCGCCATTTAGAATATCAAATTCAAGTCGTGACGACAATTGTCGCTCTACTTCGACAACTAGAATAAGGCTCATTGATATTACTAATTTTAAGTGCAGTTTTATACAATCGTTAAATAAAAAATATTTTTTATGTTGAGAACAATTTTCAAGCAAATTGCGCAAACAATGAGTATATAATGAAACAAAATAAATATAGAAACTATTAATCGGAAATCATACTGTCATATGCAATTAAAGTATACTTAGTAAAAGGTACTGCTCCAAGTACAACAGAACGTTTCTCCTTCGCTTTAAAATAATTAGTCTAGGAACCTATAATGTTCCTGTTTTTAACAATTATTAATAAGGGTTGTTTATTGACTTGGCTTTTTTGAAGAACTTTCTAAATTTAAAATATTTCATAGATATTTAAAGATAAAAGATTAAATTTTTGGATATTATCATAGTTCGTCCTAAATCATAATGTGAAATGTAATAAGAAATTAAATACTTAAGTCAAAATTCGAATAACAACATATTGTGAAAATTTTAAAACATTAGTTTGATTATATTTCGTTTTTATTTGTTTATATTTTTTTTTGTTTTCATCACTTTTTTTTAATTATATAATTTTCGTAAATAGTTGACAAGCATTTTTAATATTTTAATAATATTATTAATTCGTTTTAAATATTTTTCCTTTTTTTTGGCTGATGGTGTTAACAGAACAAATTTTTATTTTTTCTTATAATTGAAATGAAAATTTTCAATTCTATTGTTTGATATATCTTTTTTTGATATCAACCTAATTTTATATTTAATTATTTATTATAGTTTTCCCTTAATATAAAAAGAACAAGATCTATTATATTATTTATATCTTATGTTTTAATTGATTACTTTTTCAATTTAATTAACTATTTTTACTGTTTTAAGTTCAGGAAATTTACTCTCATATTTCAGAAAATTTTTCTTTTAAAATTTATAATTATTTTTTTTCTATTTTTATTATATTATTATTTTTATTTTAAATAAAGGCATATATACGTTATTGCTTACCTTTTTAAAACTACGAATTGAATGTATTTTATGATGGCAGAGTTGAATGTAGATTTTTATTCTCATTTTCCAATTTTGGCTTTTTAAA